GTGGTTTCTCATTTCTTAAACTCTATCTATAGGGTCAACTGGGGTAATTGTGAACAGTTTTAACAATTTTAACTTTGGTAGTGATTATCTAAGGTTTCTTATTTTCTAAATCTATGAAATTTGGATTCAGTGTCGGTTAGTGTATCACGTATTAATTTACCAGGACAGACCGTCATTTGGCACATTACTATTTATTTATTTTTTTGATTTACATTTACCCCACGCATTTACAATTACCCTGGTTAAAAGGGGCAAATGTAAACGAAGGTTTCATGGAGTATTAGGATGATACTAGAATTTTAAGGGGCAAATGAAAACAAATTTAGTAGGTATGACTATGTTTTTATAAATTTTTTTTTCAAAAGAAGGGTATTTACATTTACCCCAGAAAAAATAAAACATGTAAATTTCTAAGGACATCAGAGGGACAAACTAACAAAAAAACACTTAAAAATAACAGCTAGTAGCTCATTAAACAGTGGGCTTAACCTATGTCAACCTATTCATTATCTTAACATCACTACAGTCACAAATCTGCTACCAGCTTTATTTTTCGAAAACCGCTACTGACCCAGGAAAAACATAAATGACTTTTTTGTTGCGATATTGAGGGTTTGGGTTAGTTTAATCACTTCAAATGTTGTAACTTATATCATTTGGCTTCTCAACAAACTCTGTTGATGTAGAATTTAACTCCTGAAACCCTTGAACCGTAACATCTTCTTCTTGATCGATGTTTTGTATACAACAAACTTACTCATAATGGATTTTATTTTTCTTTCTACCCTGAAAATCTACTAATACAAACAACCCTGTTTTTAATTCATTCCAAACTGGTTTATATTCAACTTCACTTATTGATTCCAGTAATGACTAACTTTAATAAATCTTCATCAGAAGAGACACATAGCCGATTCGTCTAACAGTTCTTCTTGAATTTCTTCTTCCTCATGAACAACCTTTCTTTTCTTACCATATACCTTTTTAATCCCATTCTCATTCTTATCTTTTTGCTTTTTATTGGTCCCCCTTCTTTTGATCTCTTAACTTTTGAGCAGTTTCCATTTTCTCTAGAACCTGTGGGGTAGTTAAAATTTCGCTATACATTTGTTTTGTGGTTTTAGTCTCGGTATAATCTGCCTCTGTACCTTTTTAACATTTGATTGGTTAATGTCACACGTTAATGTAACTATTACTTTGCTCAGCAAATATGCTAACTATTGTGTTGGAAGTGAATGTGGTGGTGGATGTGTGTATGCCTTTATAGGTGTAGAATTGTCAGGTGGCTGATCAGGATCGTTAGCATTCGAATTAGGACTTGGCATATCCTGGCAATTTTGTGGTAAAGACACTCACTACCTACCTGATTACCGAAATTTTTGCATTTACATTTACCCCATTTTAGGATTTACAATTACCCCAACACTAAATTCTTTGGGGGTAAATGTAAATAGTATTTTGTAGGTTACTACTTGCAAAATGTTTCTAGTTTTTTGTTTAAAACTAAGCAAGTATGACATTCACCATCACCTAAACCAAAATTCGAATCACAGTTACCGTTTTTGGGTCAGCAATTCACTTCTAAAAAAACCTTCACAAATCTGTTTTTCAGTTGAAACTGCACTGTTATGTTCACATGGCCGCATTTCAGAACCAACTGCCATTTCAACCTCAAAAACCACCCTTGGCTAAACAAAACGCGGGAAATGCGGATAATGTTGTCGATTTTAGGTCAAATTCACTCTTAGCCAGAAAATATAAGGTATTTTCATTTACCCCTTTTCACTTTTACCCCAGTTGACCCTAAATGCGGTCAGTAGAAAGTCTGTTATTATTAGACTTTTTGTTATTAGCATTAAAAAATCAACATAATGCAGACTTTCTTACCAATATACTTCGACCATCATTAAATTCAATGGTAATACAAGATTCTTTATTATCCTTGTTATTACTGCTTTTTGACCTCTTTTTTGAATAATCCGAGGTTCTCACCAAGGTTCCCACAATCAAATAAAACAAACTGGCACTGTAAAAATTCAAAAAAAGTATCTATATGCAGAGCTGGGCAGGGCTTGAATGCTTTGTGCTTGCAAAAGTGCTTGAAGCACTTTGAGGACTTGAAAGCCCTGTGCTTCAAGCCCTTTTATAGATTTGTAATTGGGGCTTGCAAAGTCAATTACTTTAGAAAAGTGCTTGGTAATTTGTAATTGAAAAAAGTAATTCAAGCCCTTTCAATGAGCTTCAATTACTTTTAGAGGGCTTGAAGCACTTTTGGGAGCTTGAAGCCCTTTGAAAGGGCTTGAAGCACTTTAAGACGGCTTGAAGTACTTTACCTATCCCCCACTTAAAAATTTTCGATCGTATTTTGTCCTTTAATTTTTTTTTCTATTATTTGAACTTGAACCGTCTTATGTCTTTTCTCTCTACAATGGAGGTTTTGGGTTTGAGCTTAGAATGGAATTTAAAAAAAAAAATGAATGAACTTATTATTCAAATAAATAATTAATTTATATTGGTATCCTATTTAACTTTATCACTGGATTTTTTTCACTTTTCCACATTGAACATTTTGAAAACCTTAAAATTGAATTACCATGTAGTACCCCAACTACCCCAAGTACCCCAAAACTACATCTCAAAAAAAACATAGTACTGCTACTCTGTGAAATGTAAGGTTCGTCTCTACTATACCAATTCTGTGTGATGAGTGTATGTGGTAGCTTATGCCACTTTGAGAATTTTATTACAGATTCAAAGTGCTTTAGGCACATATAAAGAGCTTCAAGCACATTTAAAGAGCTTGAAGCACATTTAAAGAGCTTGAAGCCCTTTTCAAGGCACCCCAAGCACTTTTGATGTGCTTCAAGCACTTTTCAAATCACTTTGAGGGCTTTGTGCATGTCAAGCCCAAAGCACTTTGAGGGCTTTGTGCTTGTGAAGCACTTTTGAAAATAAAAAAGAATTTGTGCTTGAAATTGAAGCACTTTGATAGAGGGCTTAGGGCTTAGTGCTTCAAGCCCTTTTACTGAGGGCTTTGCCCAGCTCTGCCTATATGTAACTTATGAGGAGAAGCAGCGCTCAGGAAGCTCAGAAACAAACTGTTTTCTCACATCATTCGGCACGTATTACCAAGTATTTCAAAGTATTTCTAGATATTCCTCGAAGTATTCCCAAGTATTACCAAGTATTGCCAAAGTATTCCCAGGAATTTGTACACCGATTTCCTTGGGTGAAAAGCCCCTCTGATTTACATATTTCAATAAAAATACGTTTCACGGGTTGCAAAAATTCTATTTTCATAGAGAATAGGGCCAAAAAAGGACTTACCTAGATGGAGGCTCAAGACTCCTCTGGCCTTTACCATTGGACACCATCACACAAATTGTCCTGAAAACGGATGATTTTTAAGTGTTTATTAAACGCACAATAATTTAATACACTTTTTCACTTAAAATTTGCACGAAAAACTAGAAAATTTTTCAAAAAAAACGGCCCGCACGGAGCAAACGCGACGTAAACGTTTAAAAACAAAACTTGTATGTATTGACAATCAACATAAGTTGACAGCCCCCAGCAATATTGTCCGTCTCTTTTTATCTTGTGCATTTGAAACGAGACGGATATAATATGTATATGTGCGTTGTTTATTTACATAGCCTACTTAGACTGTCAACATTGCCATTTTTTTTTTTTATCCTCTGTGCATCAAATGCAACAGATATAAGCCAGCTTTTGATATAAGCTAGCCTAATCACAGTAAAATAGATTGATTTTAACGAGGATTTTAATAAAATAATACGTTTTAGTGATTGGGAAAATTACATTTTCATTGGAAATTGTGCCAAAAAAAGTCGAGTGCTTATTAGACGCGCAATACTCTACCTAACATTTTCAATTCACTTTTTCACTCGAAACTTATAAAATTCCCTTAAAAACCGGCCCGTTATAAGCATACGCGACGTAAAACTGTTCAAAATAAACAAAAGTTGTATTGATAATAATTGTAATTTTTGACATGCAACATTTTTTTGTCTCTTTTTATCTCGTGCATTTGAAAAGAGACGGATATAATATGTTCGCTGTCTATTTACATAGCCTACTTAGATGGAAATTTAGATTTGCGCAATGCAAACAAACAAGGCAAAATTATTGAATCGGGCGACAAATAATAAATAAATTTTAAAATAATATAAATTATTGCTCCAATTGAACTTTAAACGTAGCTATATGTCCTTTTTTACCCTGTGGTTTTAAAATATGACAGCTATATAGGTACAATTTAAATGGACTTATGTATAATAGAAATTATTGTTTCGCCTTGTTTCTGTGGAATAGGAAAGTATATTTTTGCGCACTTGTTTAGAACAACAACCATTTCAAACTAAAAGAAGTTATACTTATTTATTGATATAAAAGACAACAATCTATCAAAACAAAAAACAATAGGTAATAAATTGTCATAATGGTGATTGATAGTTGTTGTCAAAAAACAAATTTGAAGATGTTTGATGAAGCAATAATTCAAAAAGACAAGATTTTATTAATTTACCAAAGGTTTTCGATCGAAATTGTATAAAATTCAATGGGATAAAAAAAAAGGTAGCTATAAATTTTGTTTATTTATTCATAATAGTAAATAATTTGTTTTTGAATTATTTCATTGATAAAACTACTACTGGCGCTATCAAACCACGTGCTATTGTATTGATCCCTTTAGTTAGACGACCAACAATACAGCAATTTAAATTCCAAGCCGATACAAATATTGAGCAATTTTCAATCCAGATTATCACTTCTTGATCCATTGTCATTGTATTATTTTGATTTTCAGCAATTCAGCATTCAATCAACAACTAGAGGAAGAAAATTAATTGATCAAAGCTGGAAATAAAAACCTCTAAAGATTCGGCGCCATAGCGAAGCTCAGTCACGTGACTGTCAAGAATCCTGTAAAATTATAAAAGCCCGCAACCCAGTCGGTTTCTCCTCTTTTCCCATAAAGTTACGAGACTGTTGCGGTGTAAACGTAGTGCAAAATAAATCGCGAGTTTAATTTTTTTTCGGTTTTGATTGGAAAAAACTACTGCAAGAAAAATGCCTGACACTGTCACCAACGGATACACCAACGGGAACGGACACATGCCCTACGACATGGAAAACGGATCGAATTTTCTTTTCACATCGGAATCGGTCGGTGAGGGCCATCCAGGTACGTTTCAAGCCCTTTATTTTGATTTAATTTCAATCATTTTATGATTGCCTAAAAACAATACAGCAATAAGTAACTATTTCATAATGTTTCAAATAATTGGGCTATACTATTTTTAAATCTACCTACCTATACACGTGCTACTACAATACAATCAAGGCATTTTTAAATGGATAACCTACCTATATTGCTGTCATTATTGTTTTTTTTTTTTTTTGTTGTTGTATTGGTAACTAATAACAAACAAAATAAATAAATAAGATCTATATAATATTTTGAAACAACCCTTTGGTTTATTTTTAGATAAAATGTGTGACCAAATTAGTGATGCAGTACTAGACGCCCATTTAAAACAGGATCCCAATGCCAAAGTTGCCTGTGGTGAGTTATTTTACCTGCTTTTATTACGACTTTTCTTGGTAAAAAGGACAAGGCTAAACAAATAAAAACCCTCAGTATTCCTGACTTTTTGGTGGAGGTATTTTTACCTTGCTACTGCGCAATTACACTGTTGCCAAATTCATTAATAATTATTTTAATAATTTTATAAAAAATATTTTTATTGATAATCAATAATTATTGCGACGCCAAAATAATAGGTGAAAAAAAGAATTCTTGCCAGATTGTATTCTGTGAATTCCTCTCAAAATTTCTTACTGATAACATGTTTACAGTTTTGTGTGCGTATTCCTTTTATCAAAATTGGAGCAAAGAACTATAACAGAAAAATAAACTATTATTGAACATTGACCTATGATAGGAAATTACATGTTTTATATTGCTTTGTCAGTTACAGCTAAAATTATGTTCTTATATACAGGGTGACACAAGACATAATAAGGCACAGCCACAGAATATATAAAGTTTGTTTCGCCAGGGTTTGTACTTCCCACCAGCATTTACCTTCCTTGTTTAACAAATAAAAATTGACTGAAACAAATAGTGATGTGAACAAGGGAACGTTCTGATTGTGCTTTCGAGAACATTCGCGAACGTTCGCGCACGAAAAAAAGGTTCGTGCTGAATATTACCTTCGGAGCACATTGAGCACGATAGAGAATATTTAGCACGTCCTCAAGCATGATCCTAACCAATAAAAACACATGACGCCATAGAGTAGAGATATATTTATGGAAGCTGTTGAAGGCAAAGATATATATATATATATCAAATATTGAGCCCGAGAACCAGGAAGCAACTTAGCAGCAATAGTTATTTTTTTTGTAAGCAAAGGTAGCATTCTACTGGAAAAAAAACCCAAATTAGAATAATTATTGTTGTCAAACATCACACAAGACACAATTCACAAAATATGAGATTAATTATTATCTATTCACAATCTGTAGTCCAAAGGTACATGTAAAATTTATCACCTTTCAATGCTATTTGATAGGGAAAGGTGATAAATTTACCTGTACCTTTGGACTACAGATTGTGAATAGGATATATGTATTATATTTTCCCAAGAAGTTTGAGAATTTTCAGCACATTTATGAAGAATTTTCAGAATATTCAGAACTTCCACGAGAAATTTGGGAATTTCGGGAAATTTGAGAAAAATCAGAATTTATTTAGAAAAATGTTTTGTTTTATTCAGCGTCTGATAAAAAGCATAAATTCTCGGGTCCTGCTCGTTTTTGCTCATTTATTCTCGTTAATTCTCGATCCTGCTCGGAGAACGTTCTCCTAAAATACTTGCTTGAGCATTTTACATCACTAGAAACAAATCAGTAACGTCAAAAACGTTCGTTGGTTCTTAAACCAGAAGTCATTAATTTTAATTTGTCAAAAAAATTGAATGTGTCATATGAATTAATCTACGACAACCCTTTTTTTTCAAGTTTCAAGGTCAAGTATGAACCCTGGTGAAACGGACCTTAGCTAAACGGCAAGTTAAGCTGTATATTCTGTGGCACAGCCTTTACCCAACTTTTTTAATATACAGGCTGTCCTGCATAGATAACTGACACATTTTTGCAGACAAAATAAATATTCCAAAAATGAGAAAAAATAACAAGATGTGGTAGGTACCGAGTGTGGTACGTTTGTTTTGAGAGAATTTTGTATTGCTAAAGGGAGTGAACTCTGCGCCTACCGGTAGGTCCCATTTGTTTCATTGATTGTGTGCCTACCGTATGTATAACGCTCAAACATTATGGTAGGTCCTAAATTGCCACATGATATAACGCCTATGGTTACTGTTTGTAAAAAGAATCCTGAGCCTACCGGTAGGTTCATATATTAATTCAAGAATCCGTCGCCTACCTATTGTGCATATATGGCCATTTACGTTCGATGGGTGATATAAATATTTGAAAAAGGTTTTCCACGTTTTTGGGGGATTTAGGCTTCCGAGAATCCACTCTTTGAAGTTTGGCGAGCGGAGCGAGCAATCCAGAGGCTCAAAAATATTTTAAATTTCAAGTGGATACACCTATTTAATAAAGGTTTTTCACGTTTTTGGTGGATTCACCGGCGAGCAGAGCAGAGCGAGCAATCGCTTTTGATAGATTTGCTCTTCCGAGGATCCTCTCTTCGAGGTTTGGCCAGCATAGCGAGTAATCGAAGACTCAAAAATAATTTCAAGGTGTAGGCAGAAGGATTTTCAATAGGTTGCCGTCTAAAATGACGCAGATTAGATTTCAAACATCAACAAATTTAAAGTCCAAATTAGAAAAATGTCAGGTACTAATAAGGGCTTATTACTCAGTGGACGAATTTCTTAATGACAATTTTGCAAACAAACAAAATTGAATTAACGCATTTAGCTAGCAAGAGCCGCCTCCAGTAGGCGCTTGATCAATTTACGAAAAAGGACCTACCTACCAGTAGGCGTACAATCGGTGGATGAAAAAGGACCTACTGGTAGGCGTACGACCGTTGGATAACAAAGGACCTACCGGTAGGCGTAGGATTCACTCCCATTGCTAAATCCTTGAATTTGCTGAAATTTGGTTTTACATTTACAGACGTGCGATTTCTTGAAATGAAATTACTGCCCTATTTTCAATGAAACATGCTGTATATTTTTTCATCATCAGAAAGCCTGATTTTTCTACTCTGCATTTTTTTTTAATTATCTTGAAATCTCATTGTAGAAACTGCACTTTGTTAAAGATGGTATCATCAATTGGCCAAAAAAAAAAAAAAAACTTTTTCTATGAGTATTGAATAATATGCGTAATATATTTATTTATTTATTCCATTACTTTACAAACACCAAACATAGTAATTACATGTAAAGTTAAAACAGCGAAGTGTAAAACAAAAATAAAGATAGAGTACACAATATAAACATATATGACTAATTTAAAAGGGCTTTCAATTGATTTAAAGTTACATTAAAAAGATCTACCTGGACCTCATTAAGTGCTTGGTTCGCAACTGTCATCATGCAATTAAATGGTGACATATTATTACTAGGATCAGTACCAAAGTATTTCTTGTTTTTCATAATTCTTAAGTTAATCTTTGGTACAATTAAGGAGACATAGTTAATTAAATTACAATCCTTATACTTTAGGTTGTTTAAAATATAAAACAAAAATATCACAGCCTGATTATTCCTTCTTTCCACTAATGACTTAATCTCAAAACTAACAAGCATATCCCTGTAAGGAACCATATATGGGTAAATATTATTTTTAACCACATAGAGATACCGCAAAAATCTCTTCTGCACTTTTTCAATTTCATCAACATGCGTGGCTTCCAATGGCATCCAAATGTGTGATGCATATTCAAGGTGTGGTCTCACCAGAGCATTATACAAGTTAATAATTGTACTTATTTCTCCTGATTACAAAGCCAAGTGCTTTTACTGCTTTATTGACAACATGATGGAAATGCTTATTGAACTTCATGTTGGCCAGGAAAAAGACACCCAAATCCTTCACCTCTGTTTGACGATCAAGCTCAGTATCACCAATCTTGTATGATTCTTCTATTGGGTTTGTTCGTCTCGTAAAGCTGACAACAGAACACTTATTAACATTTAGGGACATTCTGTTGTTGTTGAACCAGTCCATCACCCTATTCATGTCACCCTGAAGCCTTCTGCAGTCCTCTCGCCGCTCAACAATCCTACAGAGCTTGAAGTCATCAACAAAGAGAAGTCCCATAGAGTCCCTCAGGCAGTCGGGCAATGAATTGATGAATTACAAAAAGAAAAGAGGGCCCAGTTTACTACCCCAGTTTACATCCATTTTCTATTGATGAATGTGAATGATTACTCATACAGTGAGTTTTTTTTCATTACTCAATTGTTTTCAACCAATGAAAATATCCTGGTCTCATTACTCCACTATCTAAGAACCAATCAGAAAATTTGACAAGTTGACAACATACTTCAACCTTCCAATAGGTCATTTTGACAGCTAATTTAAAGAAGACTTCTGCTAGCCTAATCTCACTTTGTCCTCCAGCTGTCAGAATTGTCAATTAATTTTGTTATGAAAATTAAAACCGCATCACTCGTGCCTATTATCTATTAATCATAGAAAAAGTATAGTATGGGTAATGGCTATTACTCACTCGGATGATTACACTACTCGCCTGCGGCTCATAGTACAAACTTCATCCTTCGTGAGTAATAGCCATCATTACCTGCTCGTTGAATTAAATACTATTAAGCAATTAGAGGGACTTTCAGGATTTATTGAATAGGGTCTTTTTATCAAACAGAACAAACCCCGAATGGATCTCAGGCTCAAAAATAAAATTATTTTTTTTCTATCTTAGATGCATTAAACTCCTGTAAAATTTCTATTAAATCATCTTTGGCAGCTTCTGCAAAATACTTAAAGCAATCAGAGGGACTTCAAACTTTCAGGATTTATTCAGTAGCCTTTTTATCGACCAGAACCTGCATTGAAGACTCAGAAATGGAATTATGAAATTTTTCTCACTTAGATGCAATAAAATCATACATAATTTCTATTAAATCACCTTTAGAAGCTTCTGAAAAATACTTCAAGCAATAAGAGAGACTTCAAACTCTCAGGATTTATTGGATAGGGTCTTTTTGTCAAACCGAACCAACCCCAAATGGTTCTCAGGCTCAGAAATGGAATTATGAATTTTTTCCCACTTAGATGCAATAATAATCATACAAAATTTCTATTAAATCACTATTGGAAGCTTCTGAAAAATACTTCAAGCAATCAGAGGAACTTCAAACTTTCAGGATTTATTGAATAGAGTCAGGTGGGTGCATATTTAATTGTCATGTACTGGGTGATGTCTATATTTTGCACTCACAACTATCTCACCTGTTTGAAGAGATACCCAGAAGTGTCAAATGTGAAAGTTGTAGGTAATATCAGAAAGTTTTCAATGAAGTTAGTTTCAAATATACAGGGTGTGTCACGGGGTGTCCCACGACGTTTTTCCCAGGTGATAACTTCGGAACGCGTCATCCAATATAATTGAAATTTTGAGGATCTGGGTAACTTTTTATGCCGCTTCTACCATTGTCATCCAATTACACCACTTTCGCTTCAATTTCATTCAAGTGACATCAACTTTCGAATCTTAAATGTAACTCATGGTATATTATGGCATTTTTTGTTAGAAAATTAAATTACAAAATCGGCAATGCCATATTTGTTGAGGCTTTGTTAAAAAAAATGATAAAAAAATTATACGATGATGCGTTCCGAAGTTATCATTTGGGAGGAACCTCGTGGGACACCCTGTATAATTGACCTATCGGATTAGCCTTTCAAACCTGATTCCAAATATACTACATTCTTGAGGTTAATTCCCCATAGTCCAGCCTCTGATAATTCCATTTTAGAGAAATAATATAGATTTTTTCGAGGATTTTTTACTTGAATGATTACTTTTATATTTTGCTGGTGGTCTCTATACTTCGCCTTTTTCAATAAAAATTCAATTATTCCACCCCTTTTTTTCTTATTTTCTCCCGGACTATTAGGAATAAATCTGAAAAACCTAGTATACAGGGTGTCCCACGGTGGATGGCGTATTAGACGTTTATGGAGAACTAAAAAGCGGATCATTTTGAAAATTTGACAATTGGGATAAATGGCCATGATCTACACTTTAAAAACATTTTTGAACATGCGGTGTTGCCGCTTCCACTCTAAATCAGTGGCAACATAGCTGTTTTAAATAAAACACCCTATATGTGATTGCATATTTGGATTCTACTGAGAATTCTACATAAAATTCTGAACAGATTTCATGTGATATACCCTATACCTAAGTTCAACTGTTTTGGAAATATTGACAGTTGAAAATTCACTTTTTGCAACTTTGACAGGCTGTAAAACCTGAACAAATAATTTTAGAGGCAAACCGATTTTACAATCCTATCTTAGATTTTTATAAACTATCATTTGAAACCAATTAACTTTGAATTTAACCTGAGATTAAATTTAATGAGAATTTTTAATCATGGATTAAATTCAAGGTTGGTGTCAAATGACAGTTTATAAAAATCTAAGATAGGAATGTAAAATCTTTTTAGTTTTCCATAAACGTTTAATATGCCATCCACCGTGGGACACCCTGTATACTAATGAACTGTTCCAATAAGACACTCACCTGAAACGTGTAGTTTATGAACTAATGAGAAAAATTCACAACTGAGTGAATCAGGTTAATATTTTACTTGAATAACATATTGGTGAATAGATGGCTGCGGAACTCGCTGCGCTCGTCCCGCAGAGGTCCACCCATAGGTTGCACAACAATCCACTCGTTTGTACTCGAATAACTTGTCACATTATGTTACTAGTTTGGTAAAGTAACATTACTAATTCCTGTTGAAAGGTAAATTAACAAAAAGTGAATAAGCTTACAAATTTTGACTTTATATAATAAGTTATTGTTGAAGTACAAATAAGTGAAGTATTGTGGAATTTATGAGTGGACCTCTGCGGGACGAGCGCAGCGAGTTCCGCAGCCATCTACTCACCAATATACTGTTCAACTGTTCAAGTAAGACATTCACCTGAAACGTGTAGTTTTTGAACTAATGAGAAAAACTCACAACTGAGAAAATCAAGTTAGTATTGTACTTGAACAACATATTGGTGAATAGATGGCTGCGGAACTCGCTGCGCTCGTCCCGCAGAGGTCCACCCATAAGTTCCGCAACAATCCACTCGTTTGTACTGTTGAAAGGTAAATTGACAAAAAAGTGAATAATTTTACAAATTTTGACTTTATATAATAAGTTATTGTTAAAGTACAAATGAGTGAAGTATTGTGTGGTAAAGTAACATTACTAATTTCTGTTGAAAGGTAAATTGTAACTTATGGGTGGACCTCTCGCTGCGCTCGTCCCGCAGCCATCTATTCACCAATATGTTGTTCAAGTACGATACTATTCTGACTCACTCAAATGTCAGTTATCCTCATAAGTTCAAAAACTACACGTTTCAGGTGAATGTCTTATTTAAATACTTCAACAGTATATTGGTGAATAAATGGCTACCAATTCTGACTTTATATAATAAGTTTTTGTTCAAGTACAGGGTGTTTTTTTATATATTGACAATTGACACCCCACCTACAGACTTTATCTTTACAGGTAGATGAAAGGTGTAAATACAAAAGTTGTACAGTATTGGCTACAACTGAAGATCTGTACTTATACAGGGTAACATGAGGATTAAGACACAAGTGCTGAAAAATAACCCAACAACTTCTAAAAAAATCTTTATTTTTGAATACAAATGATAAATTGTAAAATAATATCTAATCCACCTTCAATCACCCTGTATATGTGATCATACAATTACATAATAAATTTCTTAAAACAACTTACAAGTTGCGTTGAAATTGACAGTTAAGTATCAAAATACATTGATTTTTATTGATTAAAATTTTTGCAAATCAGAATTAATATTTCTATGAAACACTTTTTCTGATGTTGTATTTTTAATATCTAATGTAGAAGTTGGTGTCTGGAATAACTTGAAGCAGTATGTACTTACATAGGGCAATTTGAATTACAAAATACATACATACTTTTTTCATTTCTGCCATATACCTATATTTCTATTATAGATAGAATTTATTAATTTTTTAATAATTTATGTACATTATTTTTCAACAGAAACTGTGACGAAAACCGGCATGGTCTTGCTTTGCGGAGAAATTACATCAAAAGCCAATGTAGACTATCAAAAAGTTGTCAGAGAAACTGTAAAACACATAGGCTATGACGATTCTTCAAAAGGTAAGTTTTCAGTCCTAATAAATTTTGAAACTTTTTTGCTTTGATGCTGTACCTAATTATACAGGATGCTCCATTTAACTTGTGACAGTCAAATCCATTATTTTTTTATATAATTGTACATTATATTATGGTCTCAAATTAAATGAACAGCCCTCTCTCTTTGAATTTCTTTTTTGCACATACATAGATGTAGGTACTTTTAATTGTTAACTTTCCGCAGCTATTTTATTATTAATTATTTGCTTTTGTTCCATCAGTAGTAGTACCTAATTAATCGCACAGCAGTCAATTATTCTAAGATTCTTTTTCCTTCTCTCACCAAAACAAAACTATAGGCTTAGATTATCGTACGCTGAATCTCCTGGTGGCTATTGAGGAACAATCCCCGAATATTGCTGAAGGAGTGCACAAAGATAGGGAAGAGGTGGAAGTTGGAGCTGGGGACCAGGTAGAGTTATTTAGCCATGACAAAGGGGTCGGAATCATTTGCTACTGGGGACAAAAATAGCTTAATATTAACTGCTTGGTGTATGCATTTATAACTTACTTCGCTTTTCATTTGAATATTTTACTACTTAGGGTATTTTTAAGTGAATGTTATTGAACATACAAGGTTTTACAATACTTACTCACGAATTTGTAGCACCCTGTATTTGAAATCGTCAGCCAAACAACAAAGGGGCTTTAGAAAGGTCAATTTTTATAGGGTCTTGTAGATTTCTCCAAAAAATATAAAATACTATAATGTTCATAAAAACACATAAAAATTGACTTTTACACACCTACAAATTTGATAAGTAATTTTCATAAAAATTTAATTGCATGATGGGTTCCAATCATTAAAAAGTCATCTATCGTAGGGTTTGATTACAAGACGTGCAGCATAATGCTGGCGCTGGACGCCCAATCGCCCAACATCGCTGCTGGGGTGCATGAACACCGCAATGAAGAAGAAATCGGGGCCGGCGATCAGGTTAGAATTAATATGCGATTTTTCATTGGAAATCTGGGCATGATGCTTTTGAATTTATAAATCTTATCAATAATAAAGCTTATTTGTTTGCAAAATGTTTGAATTTACTTGAATTAACAATTAATTTGATTTAGGGTCTTATGTTTGGATACGCAACAGATGAAACAGAAGAATGCATGCCATTGACAGTTGTTTTTGCACACAAATTGAACGAAAGAATCGCGGAATTGAGAAGATCTGGGGAATTTTGGTGGGCAAGGCCTGATTCTAAAACACAAGTAAGACTCTTTGTAATTAGCAAAAAATTAATTACTCTTATGGATAATTGTTTTATTAGGTAACAGCCGAATACACATTTAGCTATGGAGCTTGCATTCCACAAAGAATACACACAATTGTTGTATCGCTACAACACAGCGACAAAATCACTTTGGAAGAGCTCAGACAGTCTATCAAAGATAAAGTGGTCAAAGAAGTTATTCCTGCCAAATATATGGATGAACATACAGTTGTACACATTAATCCATGTGGGTTATTTATAATTGGAGGACCACAGGTAAATATTTAGGCATAGGAAAAATAATTATTTAACATTGGCAACATTGCACTAGGTTTTTAACCCGTGAATACCTATGTGTCTTTAAATAGCAATTAAGAACATTATGTTATGTAATGTAATACACGCTACTGAAAGATAAACTTTTTGGATTATTGCTGATTTGAACATTTTCAACTCGGAAGCTTGGCTTCTGTTGACAAACAACCTTCAACTAGATGCTTTTTTGATGAGTTTGCTTTTCATTGCATCAGCAAAATAAATTGCTGAAGTGAATAGAAAAGTTCTAGCAATTTTTTGAATATTTTTATTTCATTTTTTGTCTATTCTCGAATCTTGAAATTTTCAAATTAAAGAAAATTCAGGTTTATATTTTTTTGAGATAATTTAGTTTGAAGTTTTTGACTACAACTGAAATTTAACTCCATTGTTCAAAAAGTATTTGAGCTATCCCAATTTAACTCAGATTTATAGAGAATTTGATGCTCTTTTTCGTCACCCTGTATGTCCGACATGGCCTGAATGGAAACATCACTGTCAGGCAATTATGCCCAACGCGGCATGCAATGTGTTAATGGAAATATAGACATTTTCTCTTAACCTTATGATAATAATGAGTTTCACAAAGATGAGTATCTCCATACAATTTTTCTCTTTACAGAGTGATGCCGGTTTGACAGGCAGAAAAATCATCGTGGACACGTACGGAGGCTGGGGAGCGCACGGAGGCGGCGCCTTTTCCGGCAAAGACTTTACAAAAGTTGATAGATCTGCCGCCTACGCCGCCCGCTGGGTTGCCAAGTCTCTCGTAAAAGCGGGAGTTTGCCGCCGTTGCCTCGTCCAAGTATCATACGCCATCGGCTTGGCCGAGCCCCTTTCCATTTCAGTATTCGATTACGGAACCTCCAAACTCAACCAGAAACAATTATTGGAAATTGTCAATAGTAATTTCGATTTGAGGCCAGGCAAAATTGTCAAGTAAGAATTGTTCATGTTTGAAAATCAATTAAATTTATTTAATATTATTGTTGCAGGGAATTAAATTTGCGTCAACCTATTTACCAGAAAACAAGCACATATGGACATTTTGGACGCAACGGTTTCACATGGGAATCACCGAAAACACTCAAACTTGGCCACTACGCGAATCTGATTTAACGTTTTTTTTAATTTTTTTTTTTGATGATAGATCCATTTTTAAGCTCCTCTTTTTATAATAGTCATATAAATGTGTGTAGACTTTAGGGAATAATTTATACCGACCATCATTCAAATCTGTGATGGCCCCAAGTGAAGTATTTTTTTTTTTTCATTTCATTTTGGCATTTGAGAGCCAATGGGTTTTCTTTTGCGGCTCAACCACAGCTAATTAATTTTTGATTGACTGTGATATTTTTTAATTGAATTATTTTAAAATCAATTGGGTCAAGCTTTTGCCACTCCACAAACAAAATTGTTGAAGTTTTATACAAAATCTAGTCAACTTTTTAAACAAAAACATTTTTTGCTAACAAAATCAAATCTTAACATAGTTGTAATCCACCGATCCTATGCTGTTTTTTAGTTAAAAAACGAAAAACAGGTTGGTGTATCGGTATGATTATGTTGTGCTGATGACCAAAAAAAATGGGAAAAGAGCGTGTCGTTGGCACACCGGTTTGAGCCGCAAAAAGATCTCGAGCATCAACTTCCCCAGTTGCCAAAAAAACTTTAAAGACACGATTATTTATTTATTTAAATAATTAGGGCATTTATTGAATTGCTGCCATTTTTAGGGAAAATATTCGCCATAACTAAGACACAAAATTTTTATCAATAATTAGGTATAACAATATTATTTTAATAATACTATATAAGTTTAGTAATTTATTGTGATGTAAAAAATGGTTTTAAATATTGTTAATTGTAAAAAACTAGTAATTATTTTGAAATTTTCAGAATTAGGTGGCACTTTTTGAACAGAAATAATATAGAAAAATAGACATGAATTAATTTGTATTTTTATTCTTCAATTATTACAAAAGACCTCCTAAAGTAGGATCCAAAACTGACATGGCTGCTCCTATAAGATGTATTGATCCAGTTACCAACACATTATGTAGCCTATTATCATCCTCCAAGCTTTTAGCTGCTTTGACAAAAGATGGAAATACTTTTACTGTAGATTTTGTATCTAAACTCATCCAAATTTCTTTGTTTTTATAGCAACGTTCTAATTGCAATTTGACTGGTTGAATTTGATCATCCGAATCTGCTCTATCATTATCGTTTCCAACATTTGGCAAAAATATTACAGTAGTAAATTGACATTTAACAAGTAATTTGAGTAAATTTACTGGATCTCTGTCACCAGTTATATTGAAAATTAATACTCTATTGTCTTTGCTTTTTGACAAAAACCAATCGGAACAAACTTGCATACTTTCAATTGTATGAGCTCCATCTAAATAAAATCTAGAACACATTCGATAATTTTTGCACTTACTTTTAAAAAAAAATACTTACATTTTATTACAATGAGATATTATTTCATATCTCCCTGGCCATCTTGTACTTTCTATAGACTTTTTGGCTAAATCCAAATTAAATACATTATTGTTATTACTTTTTGGGCCTGAAAACCCAAATAAAATTAAATATTTTTTGCTTGTAAAACAGGTCCTTACAAATCTCCATAAACGCTTTACTAACTGAAAGAGCCAAACTAGCATTAGTTTTCTGTATATGTTGAGGTATTCTAGAATTATTTTGGTCATCAATATAAAGATCTTCAATTACATCAAGACTGCAATCTCTTTCTAGACTTTTCTTTTTCAAAACATCCAAAGCCCTTAGGGGTTGAGGTGCAGTGAAAACTTTAGCTCCTTTTTTCATTATTCCAGCTTTATTCCAGGCTATAGATTCTATACTGTTGCCCAATAATGCTGTATGGTCTATATCTAAGGGAGTTATTCCAGCTACAAGTGTTTTTCGCACTAAATTGGTGCAATCGTATTCACCTCCGATGCCTACTTCTAATATGGCTACGTCTACTTTTTCTGTTAGGAATATGTCCCAGGCCAAAAGGGTTAGGAAGCGGAAATATAGAGGCATATCATAGGGAGCAACCTAAAAAGATTTTGAAAATTTAATCCAACTTTGGATGAATCTGGAATAGAATTATTTAATGTTTCTTCAGTCAAATTCAGCTTCACAAGGGTAAAAAATTAGCATCGTGTGAAGCAATTTGGGGTGATTTAACAATTTTTCAATTTTTCTGAGTGCCTTTTTTCATACAATCTGGTTCTAAATCTCAGAATAATGTAGTGTATGGAGTTTAGGGGATCCTGATGAAGGACCATTAGGACAGAAAATATCAACAAAAAAAAATTAAAAATTTCATCGTTTTAGTACTGAGGTAAGTAGGTACCTCCTTATGATTTATATTTTGGAAAACTTTGGAAAGTCATAACTTTTTTTCTATTAAAGATAGACAGCTGAAATTTCCAGCGATTCTTATCCTAGTAGAGAACTACAATCCCTGAAAGTTTAATTTAATTTTATTTATTTATGTGAACTATAACTCTAAAATTGGACAGAAATCGGAATTTGATACTTTCATAGCTCAATTTCAACTTTAGGTGAGCCTGGGAATAGAGTAGGTATTTAATGTCTCTTCATTTCAAATTCAGCTTCTCAAGGATCAGAAATGATTTGTATTCCAAAAATATTCATAATCAATAGCTTCAAATATAGAATGTTTTTAACAGAAAGGTGATCAGAGGGTGATCATATGTTTTTGAACTCCAGTATGACTCAAACTTGAAGTAAGTAAAGTATACCTATTCTATTATATGATATTTTTAGAATTTCATTCATACAGAGCATATGATATATCTTATTAGAATAATACCAAGTAAAAATATAGTTCCCATCTTACTTTCTCCTTATCCAGCATATCAAAAATTTTCCAGAAATGCTCAGAAAACTTCTCTTTCGATATCGGAACCCCATTCAGCCTTATCCTTTCTCTGACTTCGAGTAAATGCGGTGAAGAATAGAATCCCGTTTTGTAGCCGTGATTTCTCAAAATCTGTTCGCAATAGGAGCAAGTGGTACCTTTTCCATTGGTACCCGCTATATGAATAACTGGAAGGGTATCTAGTTGCTCTAATGTAATACCTGACCTAGGATATGTTAAGAAAAATTAACTATACTCTGTTTTTTTTTTCTTTAGGAGCACACTATCCTCTATTGTCCCATCTCTATTTATTTAGAAAAGAGAGAAAAAGACAGCAAGTGTCATAGCCATGGGGATAACAATTCACACAGACTCCCAGTCCTGTTTTCTTTAGTGTTTAAAATTTATAATGGAAGTTATTATAGTATGCTCCTAACTAAAAGGAAACATAGTATAATAGAAATATTTTCACCTGTTGAGAAACTTTCTCATTTCCAACATGTTATTTTCTTGATTATTCTTAATTTTTGCATGTTTAATGTACTCAATGTTGCTTTGCAATTTGTTCAGTGTATCAATTGCTTCCTATGAAGAAAACAATAGATGATAATTCTATAAATAATTTATATTAAAAATTAAACTTACTTTGTAGCTGTTAGGCATGATAATTACACGTTTACTCAAGTGAGAAATTTGCTTATTGTAACTTGCAGTGAAATTATTTAAAAATTGCAGCAACATAACCACACTAGTTAATTATTATTAATAATTATCGATAATATTTAATAATAAAGAAGATTCGAATACGATGTCGTTTAGTATTTTTATTTTTCTTCAAAAGTCTTGACCTTTTGCGCAAAGAAGAGTTCAAGGAATTTGGGATATTTTTAAAAGTGCGCATTTGATTTCAGTAATTTCATGGTTGTAGGTATAATAAATAATTGAATTTGTTTAAATAAAGAATCATTATTTAAACATATTGGCACATTAGTTTATCAAGCAGTTTTTTGTTGTTATTTGGTTTTTGATGTGTTTTGAAACTGTCTTGAAATTTTAAATTTTCCGCCATAATATTTGAGTTAGAGGAGGGCATATCGATACGATATATCGATCAGTACATCGATATGCCCTCGATGATGGTGCCAATCCATACAGCCGAATTTATAGTCGTTCCTTAAATCTTCCTGGGAGTCGCGAGTATAGAATGGACACTTGCTACTATTTGACAAGTTATGACTTTTCTAATCGTTCAAGGCTTCCTTAAGGAATGAAACCTCAAGGACTGACTATATAAATTCGACCCACAAGTTGTCATATCGATATGTAGGTATCGCTTGATCAAAGCATTCATGTTTTTTCTATTCGAGGCTAGGCTCTTGAATTTTCTTGATCTACTGCGAGAAATATGTAAAAGAGAAATGTAAGAAAAATTGAGAAAAAATTGGTAGACAAATTCAAGAGCCGGGAATAGATAAAAATTGAGAAATACCTATGTCAAAGAAAAATAAGAAATATAGAGAAAAAAATAGAGAGTTATTGGACGTGCAATAAGGACAAGCAGTATTTAAATTAGCCTTATTTTGACATCTACGCATGCACATTGCACATTTGGGTCTGAAAATAAGGATTTCCTTAATAAGGTTACTGCTTGTCTTTATTTGTGTATGGTTAGTGCGAGGCAGTAAACTTCCCTTATTTCAAATTTCTGACATTTTGGACGACTTTGACGTTTCGCTTTTCGACGGTGACCTAATTTTACTTGGAAAATTTATTTTTTACAGTAGTTTTCCATTTTACTGTGGGTAGCATCGAAAAATGAGTATCGGCAGAAAATCACAAACAAAAATAAACACTTTTTGAGGTTGAAATTTATAAACATAGCTATCAGCTGTCGAAATTATGAATACAAAATAAGGTAATACTCTAGCACCTACTACAGTCTTCCAATAACTGTTTTTTTCTTGGAAAAATAGTGCTGATGCACTAATAAAATAACGTAGATCCTTAATACTGCGAGGCAGTATTTATTAGTTCCAATAACTCTCTAATGGTAGACAAGAGGACATTAATATCGATATGAAAAAGAAGTAGATTTTAAAAGAATACCCCATCGACACCACAGAAATTATAGTTTTTTTCGAAAACGCTGATCCGAACCACCCAATCATCAGCTGTTTGTTTTTTATCTTTGTTTATTTTATTACAGCAGATGATGATTCGATTAATCTAAATTCGAAAAGGTCTCAATTGGTATTTCTGTATCGATACCGATAAATATCGATAAACTCTTCTCTAGTGTAAGTCAAATTTCACAGTAAACTTTCAGTATGCATGCAACTGACGTACCTTTCTAACACGAAAAACCGAGGAGAAACGTGACGCCTCATTGAACTAGTGTGGAGTGTGGACAAGATGGCTGCCGGTTGAGGAATTGAAAGCCTACTTGGATTGAATCTCCAACATACGCAAAGCAAGTCCACAAGAAGAAAAAATATAATTTTTATTGTAGAATAAATATGAATAAAATAATCAACTAAATCTTGACATGATTTTAACTATTGGCTTGTGCCAATTTAATATAGCGCTTTATTTGGACGAGAATAAATCTCCTAAAAATCTGGCGTCATCTATCCATATGGTTGCAAATTACTCTAAGGGGCCAGATTTTTCTTTAAAAAATGTATTGTTTCAATAAAAAGGTAAAGTATGAACCCTGGTGAAACGAACCTTATTATTTTAATAAAAATAAGTGTAGTTTCATGCAAAACAACCAAGTTTTTGAATGAAATATGGTATTAAAAAAGTGCCTACCTTGCGATTTACATTGCCCCAGCAGCACACAAAGTTTTTTAAGTCCAAAACTATATATTTTTTTTCATTATCCTGTAGCGAGTGTCCCAATCAGACTCAATAAAAACACCCCGATGAACACTTTTAAACACTTTTCCACACTAAAATCGCCCGAAAAACTAAAAAAAAAATGCGAAAAACTGAGGAAAACCATTAAACTAGTGACGACAAGATGGCCGCCAGTTGCAAAATTTACAAAGCCTACTTGGTTTTAAACTCGGCGCAAAGCAAGTCAACAACAGAAAATTATATTAATATAATTTTTATTGTAGAATAAATGTAAATAAAATAATTAACTAAATCCTGGCATGGTTTTAATTATTGGCTTTTTCCAAATTACCAGGAAGGCAGGGGCGGCTTCTCAATAAGTGCGCTCGTGCGCGCGCACTGCCTCCAAAAACCAAGCAAGAAAATAAAATTAAAATTTTGGAAAGAAAAGAAACTTCAATTAAAAAATACCTACCCAATTTTCTAAATTAGGATAAATATCTACTCATTTTTCTATTTTTAAATTCGCACGAACGGAACGAAAGCGCGCCCTGCGCCTGTCTTGTATATTTTTTTCTCCCGCTTGGTTGTGCTGGTGGTCCGGGTGGTCGGTGTGGAATCGTTCGGCGCTCTGGGTAAATGTGTTTTCTCGCTGTGCGATTGATCGGGAATATACGGTAAGTCGCCCGATGAAAGGGATGCGCCGTGCGCTATTTGAATACACACTTCCAATGTTGTTTCCACTCAATCGAGAATATTTCGATGTTTTTTCACCATTTTGGCGGTTTGACAACTTTGTTGTTTTTTTTAAATTATAAAATATAAATTTCAATATCAATTATGTATTATGGCTAGAATACAAACATTCAAGCCTCATTTAAATACATATATTTTTGTTTTCGATAATTTTTCCTAAAGTAAAAAGAAAAAAAATCAACATACAAAATAAATGTAAAACAGGACGTGGCACCTCCAAAAAATTTTCCAAGAGCGCACAACCACACTAGGTTGCCACTGGCCGCCACTGCAGGAAGGCTTTATTTGAAGGAAAAATAAATTCCCCATAAAAGTGGCGCCATCTATCCGCAAATCAAAGTAAGCATTCAACTGACATAACTTTCAAAATTTTCTAACCTCAATTTAAAAAAAAAAAAAATCCAAAACAAACAAATTAAAAATAAATTAATTTAATTATGGTTCCTAGTCCTAAAACAATATTGGGTGGTGGTTTGTCCGGCCTATCAGCTGCCTATTACCTCTCCAAGCTCGCCGGTAAAGAAAAACTAGCCCTAATAGAAGCCTCCAACCATTTAGGGGGTTGGATAAAGTCCGAAAAAGTCGACAAAGAAGTTGTATTTGAACAGGGCCCTAGAACAATTCGTCCTGTAGGAGCTGCAGGAATTAACACCCTGAATTTACTAGATGATTTGGGCTTAAACTCTGAAGTGGTACCGATTACTAGAGACAATGTTGCAGCTAAAAACCGCTTAATTTACGTCAATGGAGAGCTTCATACTTTACCAAACTCAATTTTAAGTTTACTTAGCAAGCAAAAGCCATTTTCCAAGCCACTTGCATTACATTTGATGCAAGATCTCACAGCAAAATCCATTAAAGTACCAGACGAATCCCTATATGATTTCACTAAAAGAAGATTTGGCCCAGAAATAGCAGATTATCTTATTGATGCAATGCTTTGTGGAATTTGTGCTGGCAACTCCAGAGAAGTCAGTGTGAATTTTTTAATGAAAAAACTCTTTATGTATGAGCAAAAATATGGCAGCATTACAAAGGGTGTTTTTAAACATTTACTGGACAAAAAAGAGAAACTTCCAAATAGAGGACTTTTAGCTGCCCAAGCAAAACTAGGCAAATGGAATGTGTATACTTTCAAAGGGGGAATGGAAACTTTGCCAATTGCTTTAGAAGGGGCTCTCAAGTATTTTGGCAATACTCAAATACATTTGAATATGAAATGTGAAAAAATAACATTCAACAATGATAAATGTTTACTAGATTTACATGATGGCAGTCAACAAGATTCTAGTCATATAATTAGCTCAATTGCAGCTAAAAATTTAGCTTATTTAATTGCCAATCAACATCCTGATTTAGCTAATAAATTAGCAAAAATTAAAATGGTTGATGTGGCTGTTATTAATTTGTTTTATAATGGAAATCTTATTAAAAATCCTGGCTTTGGGTTTTTGGTTCCTCCAAAAGAAAAATTACCTATTTTAGGTGTTATCTATGATTCTTGTTGCCACAATTACCAAAATAAAACAGTGTTAACTGTTATGATGGGTGGTTATTGGTTCAAAGATTTATTCGGTGATGATCCTAGTGAAGAAACATTATTTAATATAGCCAGGGATAATTTAAATAAAATTTTAAATATTAGTGATGAGCCTGTGCAATATAAGGTCAATATTTTAAGGCAATGTATTCCACAATATTTGGTTGGTCATCAGCAAAACTTAGAAGAAATCAATAAGTATATAAAAGACAAAAAGTTGCCTTTGTCATTGTGTGGGGCTTCTTATAATGGGGTTGGAGTTAATGATGTTATACTTTCAGCTAAAAATGCTGTAGAAAACATTTATTTATAAATTATACATTATTATCTTAAGCTAATTAATAAATTATGAGATTCTTTCTTAACTTTTATACGTATTTAATTATTGATCATGGCATCCTTTCCTGTAATAATAGAACAAAAATTCAATTATTAGAAAGCAAGTACTTAAATGCATGCAACAAGCTCAATACGTAAAAAACTAAGAAGAAAATCATGCAATATAATGCTACAACTAACTAACTATAAGTCTAAGATTATACAACAATAAAAAAAAATACATATCTATTTTTCTACAGGCTTACCTGCGAATTTTATTTCATCAAAAGCCTTCCTAGCCCTCTTCAGCTCTTCATTCATTGTTAACAAATCTTTCACCCTGGCATATTTTCTGGGATCTTTCCTGACAAGAAATACTATATCTTCAACTTGTACTCTACCTGTTCTACCTATTTCCATAGCCCTATAAATTATATAGGTAGTTAACTATAAATACAAACAAGTGTACTAATTACTTTTGAGTCATTTCAGTTATGAATTCTATGACTAAATCCTCGATAATATCTACACTTTCGGTGTAAGGGTTTTGATCGTCACCGAAACCGTACATCATGCACCTGAGCTCTTTGCTGAAAAGTCTTTTTCTACCTGAAGTGCTTAGGGCTACTGTGGTCTCTGCCGATGCTTCTTCTTCTTCAAACTAGAGGAAATTTGTTTCAGTCTTTATGTTTTTTAAATTGAAATGTATGAATACATACCGTTTCAAAGTGTTCATCTGTTGCCATGATTTTGTATTTGGCTAGTTCGCAAAATGAACTGTGGATAATATAAAATAAATGGGGCAGTGGTAAGTGATCTACAGTCTAAAACAAGTTTACACTCTACAGTAACAGCACAGGTAACAATAAAATCCAATCCAATCAACATCCTAAGTTCTGCTCTCTTTTTTATAGAGGAGGGCTCATCGAAACGATATATACATCGATACGCTCTTGCTCCATAATGGTGCATATTCGATACGAATTTGTTTCGTCGTTTCGTTAACCACAAATGTGTCTGGGTCAAATTTATAGTCGCTTTTGAATTGACTTGATAGACTATATTGGCAAATAGTAATGAGTGTCCATTCTAAAGTAATTATTTCGATAAATTCAATAGCCAGACAAAAATTAAGCTGGAAAAATTGAGAAACAGAGAGAAGAAATTCAAGAGGAATAATTAAGAAAGAATTAGTAGACTATAAAATAAACACAAGTATATAAGGTATTCTGTTTTTATTTCAACCTCTTAAGTTTCTCTCTATTTGGAGAAATTTAGAAGAAAATGAAAATTCAAGAGCCGGGAATAGACAAAAATAGAATTGGAAAAATTAAGAGATGGAAAAAAGAAATTAATGGAAAATTGAAGAAAAATTAATATAGGTACCTAGATGGGACATTCATGTTTTTTCTATTCCAGGCTCTTGAATTTTCTTCATTTCGACAAATTCAAGAACCGGCAATAAGCAAAAACTTAGATATGTATATGAAAGAGTTAGGTAAGTATGAAAAAACCGAGGTATATATTATTTTTACACTTATATAGGTATTTGATGTTATTTTATCTATGTTTTAGTCGCGTTTTCCTTAGTTTTAACAATTTCTTCTGCTTATTGTTTTCCGTGTAATAGTAATTTCGATGTGCTTTATCATTTACCAAGTTTCCTTGTTTTGACTTTTATTCTATAATCGCGATTGGGGGTGGCTCAAAGAAATTATTTTAACAAAATACTGATTTTTATGTTTGTCCAAACAGAAAATAACTACATAATTTGGTTATTTTTAGCCTTGAAAAAGAAGTACTTATAGGTTGAAACGTTATTGGCATCTTTTTGATAAGAAAAGGTCTTTGATTTTTTACCCTAAACCAGCAATATCTACTACTCCATCATTCCATTCATATTTTTTCTTTTCCAGGCTCTTGAATTTTCTTTGTCTCGAAAAATTCAAAAACCAGGAATAAACTTGACTTTTAGGAAAGGTTTAAAGGGGTAGGTAAAACTTATAATTGCAATCCATCGAAAACAAGGTTTTTGTGAAAATATGGACATTTCCACCCTATTCTTGGGTACAAATGGTTCTGGAAGTTATAGTAGGCAATGTAGGTACCAGAATACCAAAATTACACGGTTTAAGGTACTAGAAAGGACTTGCAAATAACTTTGAGGCTGATTTAAGGGGGTAAAACTAATAATTGCGATTCATCGAAAAAAGGTTTTGGTGAAAATATGCTTTTTTCGCAACTTATAGTAACGTAAAGTTATATAATGGGTATATAATAGTAAGAAAGGTATATAAGAAAGTTTCCAAGTTTTATAAACTGCAACCTATGGTAACATAGTTTTATAAAGTATTTATAGGTTTACTATAACTTACAGGTATATAATAAGGTGATGTAACTGTTTCCATCACCATTTTATAAAACTTTTAGTACTCGTTACTGAAGTAGTTATAAGCAATTTTTATAAAGATTACAGTAACCTTATTTATATAACTAGAATACCCCTAGTTATATAGAAGTGTTGTCACTTGTCAATCACCTTTATAAAAACTGGAAACTATAGTTATAATAGTGTTTGCAGTATATGTTACAAAACTTTTGGTAACGCGATAATTTCTTTTATAAAACCTTTAGTAAAACCAAACTACCCAATTTGACATATGAGAAATATTCATTGGTGCCTGTTGCTGTTTATTATTGTTATAAGAAATCTGTGCATTATGCTTTAATAAAAAATGAAATTCAGCACATTATTTCGCCGAGAAATTTCAAAAAACCTTAATAAAATTTCAAATTCAGTGCCCTTAGTATCTTCCACGAGGACACTGTGATATTATAGTTCCCAGAGTTTATATTGTTACTGAAATGATCCGCCATATTTTTCTACCCAAAATCATAATAATAAAAAAGACGCATTGCAAAATACTAGTTTTATTAGCTGATTTTGATGCAAAATATATAATAATTGTTTAATACTGGCATATACAAAACGGAAATGACATTAATTTGTTCTTAAATCTCATTTTTCATTTTTACTCATATTGATATATGTATATTTTATGAAAAAACTGATTTGAAATAAATAAGAAGTGAATATTTCAAGGGCCCTTGCGTTTTTTCGAAGCACCGGTTCTACTATTTTGTAGTAGAGAAAAAGGTTCCCAACTATATTTTGAGTCTACCAATGCTATAAAGCTATAATAAAGTATATAGGTATAGTATTTTTAATACCTATTTAGAAGTACCTGTCGTTCTAGTGACAAAACGTATGTCGCTTCTTGACACACAAATAAAATTAGGTTAGGAATTTCCTATTTGTAGATGAAATTGACGTCTTAGCAATCGACGTTCGTTTTTGTTAGTAATTTTTTGTTTCATCTGATTCGTGATTGATAAATAAGGATGAGGTTATTCTAAATGGGTATTAAAAATACTATACCATCGTTTTCTAATAGGTAAATATTATTAATATTTGGACTCCATATTTGTTTTTATTTATAGTAACAGACATCTTGAAATAAAATTGTGGAAATAGAATAGAAGGAGACCATGCAATGTATTTGAGAGAGAAAAAATATGTATTTATAATGATGACAGAATTGACAAAAGTTATATAGTGGTTACCACAATATTCCCGTTACCATAATGGTTACATAAATTGAAGTTATATACCGTTACTAAACTTAACACAGGTTTTCGAAACCTTTATAAACGCTCAATTTAAACTTTTTAAAGAGTTTATAGGAGTAACAGAAATATTTCGGTAAATGGATACCTATAAAACCTTAAGTTATAATAAAGAAGGTGATATAACATTTACCTACAGTAAATATTATAAAAACAATAGTACATTATATACCTAGGTAGAGAAGTTGGTCATTATATACCAAGCGCTTTAAAGAACCGAGAAGCGAAGCGCCGAGGTTTATAATGTGTAAGGTATATAATGACTTTCTCTACCGAGGGATATATAGAGTTTTTTTTACTACTGGTAGTAGAAAATAAAAAATAGGTTTGAAACCTGTGCTCAAATTATTTTCTCTTGTCGTAAGTGCTGCCCTCTATCAACAGCTTACGGTAATTTCCTATAATGTACATACAAGCACCTGCTTTTTTTAAAATTGACAGTTTGACACTGAAATTAAACCAATAGAAACCTGTTACGTTATGACAATATCCTTGCGTCATGACGTCATTTTCATTATTGACCTAGGTATTTTTTCATTATTTTCATTATTAACCTAGGAAGAAAAATTCAATTTTTTCCCAGAAAAATTGATGGTCTATTTCTGCAGAAATCACAAACCAGTCAGAGTGAATTTCATTGGTTGAAACTAGTTTTCTGACTGTTTTCAACCAATGAAATTTGCTCTGACTGGTTTGATTTCTGCAGAAACAGACCTAATGACTACTTCTCAGGTTAGTAGTAAAAAAACTACTTTACGCACTGATGCGTGACATTTTATGTCTTCTAAAAGGTGCTTAGCGTAAGTACTTTACGCGCGGTAGTGGAAAATAGTATATTATATACCTAGGTAGAGAAGTTGGTCATTATATACCGAAAGCTTTTATAAACCGAGGCGCGCAGCGCCGAGGTTTATAATGCTTGAGGTATATAATGACTTTCTCTACCGAGGAATATATAGAATTTTTTTTACTACTGCTAGTAGAAAATAAAAAATTTGTTTAAAATCTGTGTTCTAATTATTTTTTGTGAACGCCCTCTTGAAAGTGCTGCCCTCTATCAACAGCTTATATAACTTCCTATGTACCTACAGAAACTTGTATTTTTTTTCAAATTGACGTATAAAATTGAAATTGAACCAATAGAAACATGACAATATCCTTGCGGCATGACGTCATTTTCATTACTGACCTAGGTATTTTTTCATTATTTTCATTATTAACCTAGGGAGAGAAATTCAATTTTTTCTTAGAAAAATAGATTGAATAATGTCTATTTCTCAGGTTAGTAGTAAAAAAAACAATTATTGCGCCTCCATTTACAGTCGGGAATGAGATGTTGTACCCATACTTATACAGGGTGGTCTATTTAAATTGAGACATTTCAATATCTCGAAAATGGCGCGTTTTTTAAAAAAAAAAGTTCAATAATAATGTCTTAAGTAGTTCAATGGCCTACCCTGTATACCTATTGTATATCGTGTGCTAGAAACCCAAATGTTTCATTGAATATGAAAATTTTGCGACTAAATAAAAGAAAAAGTAAAGTCTGTTTTTTTTTTTTTTTGAAGATAATTCCCCAAGTCAAAAATTTAGTAACTATGTTGGCAACACAAGCAGGGCCGTAGCGATATGACTATCCCTAGGGGGGGAGACTGAGATCCGGCGCCCCCTAAGTGCCTCGAAGGCAATCCAAAGGTGAAGAAAAATTTATTGGTGACCACACCCAAATTTTGCCAATTTTAAGTAAATATGGGTATAATTTCATTCAATGAAAAATTAGATCAAAATGTTGTATCACTAAGGGCGGGTATTATAAAACTATTCTGACTTATAACTCAAAGTTAACTTCTGGAATTGCAATGAGAAGTAACGTCATTTCTGTCATTCCTGAAGTTAACTTTCAGTTATTCTGTCAAAATAATTTTATAATAGGCAATTTTTCGTGAGGATAAGCAAGCACAATCTTTTGCTGGATTATGTGATGTGTCATTTGTGTCATACTGCCCTAACTCCCCCACCATCAAATTCTGGGATACTCGAGGATCAAGAACTCTTAATTTCTTCTGTGAGAATAAACCGAAAATCACCTTTTCTACATTTGAAATTGACGAAAAAATTAAGTCACTAGCACAGCCTGAATCGCAAGCATTGCATCGAGGTCTGCGGGTGACGTCATCATTATAAGCTGCTGGTAGTGACGTCACTCGCAGGCTCAGAATTTGATGGTGAGGGAGTTAGGGGAGTATGACACAATTTACACATCACCATTATCCAGCATACTCAAGTATGCTTGATTATCCTCGCGAAATATTGCCTAATATTCGCCCTAAAAACTTATGTATTGAATGAGACTTTATCTATTGCCAATTCGATTTCCTGATTTTCTTAGATAGTTTCAGGTGAAAATATAATGAAGTGTATATTGTAGATTTCCAAAATAAAAACACCAAACTTTTTGAATGTTTATTTTGATTCAATTTCTTTGTTTTTTGCACTTTGCCTATTTTGGCGCCCCTTTGACAGCTGCGCCCTGGGGGGGAGGCTCCCCCGTCTCCCCCCCTGTTGGCTACGCCCCTGAACACAAGCTTTCTCTACATACAAAATTTGAAAGCATCGACAATTTAACATTGTTTTGCCAACATAATGTCATTTTGATTTTTATCTTTAAGAAAAAACAGACTTTAAAAATTCCGCTTTCCGCTTCTACCCTTTTGCGAACGAAAATAGAAAATTTCCTCAAAAAGGCAAAAAGCGGATAATTCCGTCAAGCTGGCAACACTGTGGCTGACTCGTTATCAAACGCAAGGATTCGCGAAGGGCCCCGACGTAGGCGACATCTATGATCAACTTTGGTACTCAAAACTCAGTGAACAACAAAGCAAGTTTGCATTTGGCCCCCGGCATTGTTTCTGAAAGTTTTCAATTTTCTACAGAATATTATTCATTTTATGTATTGTTTCTGTTATATAAATCACAAAAACATCATAAAACACAATTTAACAAAAACTAACCTCAAAAAACTAGCTCTGTTGTTCACTGAGTTCGGCAGACATATTGCTATTTTTCGCGTAATTTAGCGCCATCTATTGGTATAGGAATTTCGCCAATATCAACAAAGCATTTGATAGGTTGGATATAGGCCCGGCCCGCCCCTTTCCAATCAGATGCGAGTGATATCAGCAGGGCATTTAATTGGTTAGTTGAGCCCCGCCCCTTTCCGGGGCTTATGTATCGTCAAGGTATTTGATTGGTTGTTTCCTTTTCAACCCTTTCCAATGGCCCGGCCCACCTACAGTGACTTCACTTTTTCAAATAGAAATTCGGTACCGCCGCCATATTCTTGCAAATCTTCTGATGTTTACTCAGGTATTATTATTAATATTATTATTATCTAAGTATATATTTATTTATTCTTTATTTTTCAATTTTTCCATCTCATATTTTGTCTATTTCCAGATCTTGAATTTTCGTTTTCTTCTTAATTTTTCTAATGGCCATCTCCACCAACTATTTTAGGGAAGCCCTAACAATAGGTATGCCTTAAACTGACATTTCTCCATGTAAAAATGTCATTTTAGGGAATACTTATCGTTAGGGCTCCCCTAAAATAGTTGAGGTTTATAATGCGTGATGCGTGAGGTATATAATGACTTTCTCTACCGAGAAATAGATTTTTTTTTTACTACTGCTAGGGCCGGTTTCTCAATAGCAAGTCACCCCCGGGTTGGTTTTAACTTCAGGATTAACGTGTCAAATTGCAATGTTTACCCTGGAGTTAGCTTAACCCGGAGGTGACCTGCTATTGAGAAACCGGCCCCTAGTGGAAAATGAATGACTAACTTTTTTGTTAGTCTTTAGCATTGGTTTGGTAAGAAAATACATAACATACCTATATCGATATTTGAAAGATAATCAATGGAATTTTAGGTAATTGATTCCACTCAAATCAAGGCAAAATAAAGAAAGACCAAAAACAATGAGTTTATATATCATATTCACAATCCGTAGTCCAAAGGTAAAGCTAAATTTATCACCTTTCCCTATCAAATAGCACTTGAAAGGTGATAAATTTTGGACATCGGATTGCGAATAGAGATTCAATCTAAATCGACATTCAACATTCGATATATCGACTTTTTTCGATATGTATCGCATATCCTTCTTGCCATCCCTAGCTAAATAGTGCCATCCTAACCTAACTTTTTTTTTGTAGTATTTTTCTGTCAAATTCTTTTTGTAATGAATGTAATGATGTGATTCATCCATACATTATTTTTTCAAATAAGTAGTAAACGATTTAAACAAAAACACAAGCTTCTAGAATTTGTACATAAATTTCTGTGATTTTGAGTGTTTTTTAACAATTACATACATAAAATGTCCAGCACAAATTTCAGAGATCTACCATCTAATGAAGAAATTATCGAAGACCTAACAAATGACTTGCATGATAACTTATCAGTAAATAATAGTGAAATTCCAGACTCCACATCTACAAAACTCACAGAACCACCTGAAGATTTCGATCATTCTGATACAGAAGATTCAATAATCATTGATGATGATTTCATCGATGAAGCTGCATTAAAAGATTTAGAAATCAGTCTAAGTGAAGAACAACTTATAGAAAACCATATAAATGCATTGAATTACAAAGCACAAGGCAATGAAGTGTTTAAATGTGAAAACTATTTAGAATCTATAAGATTTTATACTCAAGGGCTGAAAATTTGCCCTTTAAAGTTCACTGAAGATAGAGCTGTGCTTTATGCTAATAGAGCTGCATCAAAAGGTAATTTGTAAACAATAATACATATGTAGGTATTACATTTATAATACAATTTTTTAAATTTTACAGCTAAACTGGACAGAAAACAAAGTGCAATTGATGACTGCAGTAAAGCTATAGAATTAAATGATAAGTATGTAAAAGCTTACCTAAGAAGAGCTAAATTATATGAAGAAAGTGATAAACTAGATGAAAGTTTAGCAGATTTTAATAAAATAATAGAACTAGATCCAGGCAATAGTGATGCCCATTCTGCACAAGTCAGGCTACCTCCTTTAATTAATGAGAAAAATGAAAAGTTAAAAGAAGAAATGTTGGGCAAATTGAAAGATTTGGGCAACGTTATCTTGAGACCATTCGGACTATCCACTGAAAACTTTAAGCTCACCCAGGATCCAAGTACTGGTGGATATTCAGTGAACTTTTCACAAAATTCAAAATAAATCTATGTTTATGGAATTATTAAATTATTATTTGTCTTTATTTGAAAAGTGTATTTTTTCTTTTCCAAAATAATTCGGACTAAGAAAAGTAATTTAGATATTTCCAAAGTAGTAATTACTTAATATAAAAATAAGTATCTTAGGTACTGTACTTATAAGTCTAAGCCAAATTTTAGTTACAAGGTAGCGTGGCCGAGCGGTCTAAGGCGCTGGTTTAAGGCACCAGTCTCCTCGGAGGCGTGGGTTCGAATCCCACCGCTGCCAATAAGTTTTTTTTTTTTAATTTGCTGACTAAATTAAAAATAATGATAATTATTAAACATTATCTGTTGCTAATTTTCTCTATGGACATTTTAAAACATTTTTCTTCAGAAAGCTTACAAATTTCCCCAACAGATCTCGCACTGCGTTATCCATTTCCAACAACTGGTGGAAAATTCGCACATTGAGGGAGGACTGCGCAACAGTTTCCCCTCGGATAGCATCATCCCCAATTTTTAGGGCAGTAGTCCTCTTCTCTATCCCGGTCCCGTGTCGAGAAGCCCTTGTAGAGGTCGAAAGGGCACAATTATACCGAAAAACTGGTTTTCTTGGGGGTTGATTTGAAGCCAGGAGAGTCGTTTTGGGGAAAAAGAGGTAAGAGTTGATTTTCTGGATTTATCTGAAAAAAGGTTTTCCTAACAACAAAGGGTTTATAGGGCTTTGATGAAGCGTGAGCAATTAAGTGGAAATAAAATTGTAATTAGCACATATTTGTGGATATATTTTTTTAACGGGGGATATTGATTAAATTTGCCGGATTTTAATAGCAACTGGGTTCCGATAGAGTCCTTAAACGAGCATATTGTAATTAAAAATTGCTCATAATGATCTCAACACGCAGCAGGGGTGCGAAAAAAATTTGCTACCGTGTAGTAAGATTCAAAAGAAAACTCACCTCAGCGTGAAAATACTCAGTAAACACCCACTTTATGTAAATTTGAGATAATTTTTTCATCAGCATTAGTTTATGTATGAATACTATATGTAAACCAAACTGTGTATACCTATGTAATATGTTTACCTACCTAAGTATTAAATTAAATAAAGCGTTGACATATATATACATAATTAAATAGTTTAAGTAGGTACTCAGGTAGCTAGATTTTATATAAAATTTGAAATTTTTTTCTGAAATGAAAATATATCAGTGAAACTATAGGTACAGGGTGTTTTTTTATTTTTGTTTCTGACCATGGTTTCTAAAAATTCAGCCAAAACTATACAACTTTTGTATTTACACCTTTTTTCTACCTGTTAAGGTAAAGACAGTAGGTGGGGTGTCAATATATAAAAAAACACCCTGTACAAATAAGTTGATTATTACGGAACTTATGGGTGGACCTCTGCGGGATGAGCGCAGCGAATTCCGCAGCTATTTACTCACCAATATACTGTTAAACTGTTCAAATAAGACACTCACCTAAAACATGTAGTCTTTGAACTTATGAGAAAAATTCATAACTGAGTAAATCAAGTTAGTGCCTATTGAACAACATATTGGTGAATAAATAGCTGGATCCACCTATAAGTTCCGCAACAATCCACTCGTTTGTACTTGAATAACTTCTTACAATATATTACTAGTTTGGTAAAGAAACATTACTAATTCCTGTTGAAAGGCAAATTGACAAAAAACGGACAATCTTACAAATTCTGACTTTATATAATAAGTGATTGTTCGAGTACAAATAAGTGAATTGTTGCGGATTTTATGGGTAGACCTCTGCGGGACGAGCGCAGCGAGTTCCGCAGCCATCTACTCACCAATATACTGCTGAAATGTTCAAATAAGACAATCACCTGAAACATATACGTAGTTTTTAAACTAATGAGAATAACTCGATCACATTTGAGTAAGTCAGGATATTATCGTAATTAAACATGAATAGATAGTTGCGGAACTCGCTGCGCTCGTCCCGCAAAGGTCCACCCATAAAATCTGCAACAATCCACTCATTTGTATTTGAATAACTTGTCGCATTATGTTACTAGTTTGGTAAAGTAACATATTACTAATTCCTGTTAAAGGGCAAATTGACAAAAAGTGGATAATCTCAGAAATTCTGACTTTACATAATAAGTTATTGTTCAAGTACAGAATGTTTTTTTGTATATTGACACCCCACCAGCGTTGCCAGACTCTAAATAAGGAAGTGTGGTACACAATGCTCAAAAACTGTCGTACAGGGACGTACGCGCCACGAATACTTGTGGTACACATTACCTTACATAATACATTTTTAGTATACATTTACTAGAAAAAATATGATTTTTTTTGAGAGCGCAAAATCTTGAAAATTTGAAAATAATCCTTGCATTAAAAAATACAGCAACAAGAGTAAAGGGAAATCAAATAGAACTATTTATTAAATTTATTAAGGTACTTTGTGGGTACTTAGGATGGTACTTAGTCAAATTTAAATAAATTCTTTTGTAACGTTGATGCTGGATTATGTGATGTATCAATTGTGTCATACTACCCTAACTCCCCCACCATCAAATTCTGGGATACTGGAAGATCAAGAACAATTTATTTCTTCTGTGAGAACGAACCGCAGATCACCTTTTCTACATTTATAATTGAAAACAAAATTAAATCACTAGCACAGCTTGAATCGCAAGCATTCCATCGAGGTCTGCGGGCGACGTCATCACTATAAGCTGCTGATAGTGACGTCACTCGCAGGCCCAGAATTTGATGGCTACCTCGCCATTAGGGGAATGTGACACAATTGACACATCACATAACCCAGCATATTCACATGCAAGGTTGTCAAGGTGCAAGGTGGTCAAGCAAGGTACCCAAGCAAGGTACCCAAGCTCAATTTGGCCAACACATAAAATAAAAAAAGGAGAATTTAGAAATGTGCTACATATTACCATAAAATATTACCAAACCAACTTAATATTTCAAAACTGTGGTACATTACCGTACTACCGTACGCATTGATTTTCTTGTAACAAAGATGCCCTAAATTGTCGTACAAATACCACACCTGTCGTACGTCTGGCAACGCTGCACCCCACCTACAGCCTTTCACCTTTACAAGTAGATGAACGGTGTAAATACAAAAGTTGTATAGTCTTGACTGAATTTTTAAAATCCATGGTCAGAAACAAGAATTGAATGTCAGATGAAATGTGAAATGTTGCATGCTTTCAGCTTTTTTCAAATGGGATGCCCTATATTTGGCTCTATATTCTTGAAGTGTACAATTTCTCGATTCCAAAACTATATACCTAGTTTCTCTATATTTGGTTGAGCCGGCTCCAACATATTTGGTTCTAAACATTTTAAAAATACTATCAGAGAAAAAGTATCGGTTTTAGAATGTCCAAAGTTGACAAAATCGCAAATAAAAAATCCAGGTCCGTATTTAAAAAAAGTAAGTTGAGGTTGGCCGCCTGAAGACGAAACGTCGAATTTTAAATTTAATAGCACCATCTTCTAAAGGAGAAAAAGTGACAATGATGAAGTGACATTTATTTTAAAATTGCTCTTCAAATAAGCCCAGGAAAAAATCAAAACGATTTTACAAAATTTCGGTTTTTTCCGAATATCTCCGGAAGTATTCGGAATCTTTCTAATTTCAAAACGGCATTCTATTGGTCATAAAATTGCGCAACTTTGTCATAATTTAACCGACCCCGTATCTCTTACGGTTACCGAGATCCCAATGATGAAGCTCGAATTTGGGCCAACCTGTACAGGTACTGGGTGTTTGTTAATAACTAGAACACTCAGTAACTTTCTTATTATTGAAAATAAAGGGCATGTTTAACTTGGAAAATTTCTTGGTAAATTGCAACCTTGAGCGATACAATGATATTTTTTGTCGTCATAGGTATACAGGGTGCGCCAAAAAGGTATTTTTATAAAATGGAACGCCTTGTATATTTTTATTTTTCAAATAGTTTTTGCTATATTTTTGAAGCTAATTTCCTAAGAATTTTAAAAATGCAAAAATATACAGGGCGTTCCATTTAAAAAAATTACTTTTTTGGCACATCCTGTATACCTATGGCGACAAAAAAACATCGTTTCGGCGATTAAGATCGTCGCAATTTACCAAGAAACTTTTCAATTTGACCATGTCCTTTACTTTCAATAATAAAAAAGTTACTGAGTGTTCCAGTTATAAACAAACAATCTGTACAATGGTTCACAAAATCAGTAGAGGATAGTATGTTTACAATTTTTGGAGCCGCATATATGAGAGACTGCTCATCCAAATATAGACAAACTATATTATTTATGGAATCGGGAAATTGTGCTCTTCAAGAATGTGGAACCAAATATAGGGCATCCCATTTGAAAAAAGCTGAAAGCATGCAACATTTTACATTTCTGACATTAAATTTTTGTTTATGACCATGGATTTTAAAAATTGAGTCAAGACTATACAACTTTTGTATTTACACCTTTCCTCTACCTGTAAAGGTAAAGGCTGTAGGTGGGGTGTCAATATATAAAAAAAACACTCTGTACATCATCTATTTGAAATTAGGCTGAATAAATAATACTTAAACAGCAAAGTTACGTCAATTCTACGTTAATTCTTCGTCATATTAGTAACGTCGAGGTCGAGGTATGTCTAATTTACGTTCAAATATACGTTGCTTGAACGTCACAATATCATAGTAGAAATAACGTTACTTAGAAACGTATAATCGATGACCAAATAAATATACATTCAATTCAATAGACCTTTTATAGACGTTTTAATACAGGGTGTTTTTTTTTTTTTAAATGGGTCATTGGGTTTTACATGGTAACTTATTTTGAATCCTATGTTGGGTCATGTCATGACATGCTCAAATAAACGTCCCAAGCAAGTCATATTTTGTAACCTCTGTCCGACGTCGAACTTTGGTTTATTGACGTTATCCACGAAGATTTATTTTGAATCGACGTCATGTCGACTAACCTTTGAACAATTAACCAGCAAATTTATCTGAAAATCAATAAACCAGGCCTTAAAAGACCTAATAATCATCCTGATCTGTACACATTTATTTTTCGAATGCCATAGACCTTGGGTCATATGCATAAAACACGAGCATGCTTTTGCTTAAGCTTTTTGAGATAATCATATTCAGCTTTAATGCAGCAAAAAGGGACGAAAATAGAGTAAAAGCATTTACCACACTTATTTATCCATAAGAATGCTTGTTTATACGAGTTGCAAAAAAAGGTAGTTTTTCAAACTCGAACCCTAAAATTTCTTGATTCTAAGTTTTAAAATAAACAAAGGCCAATTTTATCAACCATTTTATTAGGCCAGTCATTATAGATACATAAAAATTTGGTTTTGGTGCAAAAGGTCGCGGTGTTAAGAAATTTGGCAAGAAGGTAGACTTATGGGTGGTTAACATGCACTTCAGTTTGCGACCTCATGCGACCGCCGCTCGCGCCGCCATCTTGAAAAAATGGCGGTCAAAATCAGTTTTTGGCCTATAAGTTAGTTCCTGTAAGTTTTAGGGAGGAAAGTAAATGTAAAACTGTCATTTTAAGGTATCCTTACCGATGAGCCTCCCTTAAAATGGTCGTTGCAAACGGCCATAAGAGAATAACATTTTTCAACAAAAAAGCTAAGTATTCAATTAAACTTTTTTGGCGAATAGTTTCCGACTTACAGGACCGAACATTAGCATGAATTTTTTAAAATCTCACATACATTTAAAATTGAAACTTGACCCGGTGGTTGATGTGATTTTTTTGGATTTTCTGCTTCTACTACGTTCAAATCCAACAGAAAAATAGATAAACATTCCCTTTATGTAGCTGTATTTACTCTGAATACAAACACTGCAACATTTAAATCGAACGCCATATTCAAACTCAAAACCGATGTTAAATTTAACTTGTCCAAAAGTTTTAAAGTTTGTCCAGACGCCCATCTACGATAACATTGTGTTTTGTACCAAGTTTATATTCCTGCACAATTGAGAAAGTTTCCGTCGATAAAACTATACCTACTGCGCCTGAGATTTAAATTCGAAAAATGTTTACTGTAAAATAAACTCATCAGCTTTCAAAGCCACCTGGTTTTTTGCAAACCCAAACACGCTTGAAATAAAAATTACGAATTTGTCAAAGGGAATTTATAGTGTAAAAGTTTCTCTTTGAAGCTGATGAACGATGAGTGTGCCTGATATATATTTTTTTGTATACTTACATTTTTTGCCCATTTGAAAGATAAACTACAGAGTTGTTGATTCAACAAGGTACCTATTTAACAAAATATAAGTTCAAATCAACTAATTCTTGACACACTAAATTTGGTTTTGGTGCCTAACTCCGTTTGATAGCGCGTCGTATTTCTAGAATTATCTAGTAATACCCTTTTTCGGAAAAACCCCACTGTATACAGTGTGTCCTAAATTCGAGTCTCTACATGGGGATTTCGCTTATTATGAGAGATACAGGGTGGCTCAAATTAGGAAAGTTTTAGGGAATTTATTACTCATTTATATCCTGTGGTTAAATTTGCTTCAAAATTTTCTGTTTCCTAGAAATCCGGGAAAAACTGAAAATAGACAATTTTGTTTTTTGTCAATAATTCATAAACCGGTAACTTTTCTAACTTTAACATTATTAAGACACTTTTTGAGACGGATATTTTCGTGATTTGAAAACATTCCGATCGTCGTTTGTTTTTGAGTTATTAACCAAAACTTTATTCTTAGTTCTTATGGCGGCCATCTTCGATTTCAACAAAATAATATTCTGCGAAAAAAATCGTTTAAAATGATGTATTACAAGCTATGGAAACATTTTGCAAAAATTTGCAAAAAAAAACATGTGGAATACCTTTACGTCCTTTAACTACTTATTTTTTCTTTATCCAGTAAAATTGCCAGAAGACTTCAAAAATACCGATTCTAGGTATTGAATTATACTTATTTGGTTTTATTCTTATAACTATGAGTATTGTTGCCAAATTTAGCAAAATATCGGTTCCAACTGTAATTTTGAAGGACTTGCAAAACGTTTCCATAGCTTGTAATACATCATTTTAAAGGATTTTTTTCGCAGAATATTATTTTATTTAAATCGAAGATGGCCGCCATAAAAAATAAGAAAGTTTTGGTTAATAACTCGAAAACAAACGACGATCGGAATGTTTTCAAATCACGAAAATATCCGTCTCAAAAAGTGTCTTAATAATGTTAAAGTTAGAAAAGTTACCGGTTTATGAATTATTGACAAAAAACAAAATTGGCTATTTTCAGTTTTTCTCGAATTTCTAGGAAACAAAAAACTTTGAAGCAAATTTAACAACAGGTTATAAATGAGCAATAAATTCCCTAAAACTTTCCTAATTTGAGCCACCCTGTATCTCTCATAATAAGCGAAATACCCATGTAGAGACTCGAATTTCGGACACACTGTATATACGATTATGATTTGTACACTTTGTTTCGATAACCAACGACGATATTTTTTCCTCAGATACGTTGATATTTGGATTAGTCGTATATAGGGTGTGCACCTAAATTTTGCAATATCAGTAATTACTGTAATAATATGACAGCGAAAGGTCAGGTGGAGCCAACAACGAGATTAGGCACACGTCCAACGAAATATACATCATCCCTTTGTAGTGCATAAACCCCTCTTTTGGGGGTGTTTAATTCAAACAAGCGAGCCACGGGCGAAACCAAAAATTATTCGGCCCCGGGTCTCATTTAGTTAGGCTTTATGTAGATTAGGAATGCTAATTTCTATGGAAAACTATATATAACCCAGGTGAAATTTCAAACGCATATATCCAAATTGAATCTGTGTGCTTTTTCTGAAATATTTTTTTATTATTTTCCAGATCTTAGATAGTAATGGGCAAAGGAGACAAACAAAAACGTGGTCGCAGCGATAGTGGTAAGTAGTGAAAAATTGACTCAATCGTAATCAAGTCAAATTTTCCTTTACAAAAAGTTCTTTCAAGCTTTTTCCATTCCAAGTTCCCTAATTACCACTTTAGGACCTATTCGAACGAAACATTAATAGAGGTTACGAGCCAGAAAGTAATTACCCAGTTTAGGGTTTTTTTTCTCCTATATAGGTCATGCCTTATAGTACTGGCTTATAAAGAGTTTTGTTGAAGCAACACAAAATTCATATTTTGCCTGTAAAACGGATTTATCACAAAATTGCATTAATTCGAAATTGATATACGAGCTTTAAAAATCAAAATATTATTATAAATCGTCGATTTATCATTTTTTGAATTTTATTATGTGAGAAACTTGAGCTTGCAATTTATCAGATGTATGTTTTGTGCTATCAGAATCAAAGTATAGACAAAATTGTATTGATTTACTATAAAACAAACATTTTTTATTTCAGTAAGTACTATTACATAAATAAATATATATAATCTACACTAATACACTAATCAAGGAACATAAAAACTCTGATAAATTTATAGTCAAAAAAGACTGATAAACTATTTACAAAATATGTACACTTTTTGAAGCTTCAACTTCTAATCACCCTTGCGTTGGGGTGATTCTGATTGTAATAATTCACCGCTGAAGATATTGCGGCTTTAGCAAACTCCCCTGTACAAGGGCTGTCGCCCCAAAATGGTCCAGGACAGCCTCTTTGTTCGAAACAGTTTTGGGACACTTCGGCAGGATTGCCGACCGAACAACAGGATATTATGGCCCAAACGCAATTGCTTGGACCTGAAGGTACTGCTGGTTTGATTGTTGTGGTTCGGACTAGGGGCCGTTGAGCTTTGGATTGATTGTGGATTAGGGGAGGTACTGAGGGTAGTACTGCTGTTGGTGGTCTGGTTGGTTTTTCAGATTCTTTTGCTTCACCTGAAAAAGAAAAGTCAATATTATTATTCTCCAATTCATTAATATTAAAAGAATTATTCAATAAAGCAGATAGAGAAGGAAAAATGAGAAGACGATTGAAAAATGAGAATCTTGTCGTCTTGCTCTTTAACTATAAATCCGAATAAGATGAAATTCTCAGAAAAAGAATCGCTTCAAAAATATGTTGGAATCTTCTTCTTTCAAATTTAGTCTCAAACCAATCCAAGATACTGGAGAAAAGATTGGAAAGACATTAGAAGAAAGTCCATAATAGTCCAAAACTGGAAATCAAAACTACTCTAAGTTATTGGGAATCCTCCAAAGTAAGTGACTCTCTTCTTTCTAGAGGGCGGCGGTCCTAATTGATTAATTACAATTAGGAAGCATCACAAAGTTCCTGAACCTGAAGATTGTGGTGATAAGTGAAAGATTCATATATATTATTTTTTTACAAGTTTATTGGACGTGCATCTACCAAATTCGACTTTATATCTGTCAAAAATTGCCCCTACCCTCCCCCCCTGGCTACGCTTTTGCAACAGTTTAAATTTCATTTTTTTCCAGGAAATTTGGGAAACCTAGAGGAACCAGATATTTTTTCGTTTATTAAGGAAGCTTTTAGCTTTAACATACTAAAATTTTATGGAAAAATAGCACAGCATATAGGAGTTATGATTTTTACAATCCGATAAAACACATTGAGTGATATTTCTACCTTAGAGTCAATGGTCTAATTTGTGATTTTTTTTCTGGAAATCTGGGAAACCTGGAGAAACCAGATATTTTCTCGTTTATTGAGGAAGCTTTCAGCTTCAACATACTGAAATTTTATGGAAAAATAGCCCAGGATAACGGAGCTATGATTTTTACATTCCGATAAAATACACTGAGTGATATTTCTGCCCTAGAGTCAATGGTCTAACTTTGGATTTTTTTTCTGAAAATCTGAGAAACCTGGAGGAACCAAATATTTTTTTATTTATTGAAGAAGCTTTCAGCTTCAACATACTAAATTTTGTGGAAAAGTAGCCAAACATAACGGAGCTATGATTTTTAAAATCCGATAAAACACACTGAGTGATATTTCTGTCTTAGAGTCAATGGTCTAATTTGTGATTTTTTTTCTGAAAATATGGAAAACCCGGAGAAACCAGATATTTTCTTGTTTATTGAGGAAGCTTTCAGCTTCAACATACTGAAATTTTATGGAAAAAAAAGGCCAGGATAACGGAGCTATGAATTGTAGAATCCGATAAAACACACTGAGTGATATTTCTGCCCTAGAGTCAATGGTCTAGTTTTTCATTTTTCTTCTGGAAATCTGGGAAACCTGGAGAAACCAGATATTTTTCCATTTATTAAAGGAGCTTTTAGCTACAGCTTCGACATACTGAAATTTTATGGAAAAATAGCCCAGCATAACGGAGCTATGATTTTTACAATCCGATAAAACACACTGAATGATGTTTCTGCCTTGGAGTCAATGATCTAGTTTGTGATTTTTTTTCTGGAAATCTGGGAAACCTGGATGAACTGAATATTTTTTTATTTATTAAAGAAACTTCCAGCTTTAACATACTGAAATTTTATAGAAAAATAACTTAGGATAACGGAGCTATGATTTTAAGAATCCAATAAAAGACACTGACTGATATTTCTGCCTTAAAGTCAATGGTCTAATTTTTTTTTTTTTTTTTTCTGAAAATCTGGGAAACCTGGGGGAACCAAATATGTTTTTACTTATTAAAGAAGCTTCCAGCTTCAACATGCTAAAATTTTATGAAAAAATAGCCTAGAATAACAGAACTGTGATTTTTACAATCCGATAAACACACTTAGTGATATTTCTGCCTTAGAGTCAATGGTCTAACTTTGGATTTTTTTCTGGAAATCTGGGAAACCTGGAGGAACCAAATATTTTTTTATTTATTAAAAAAGCTTTCAGCTTCAACATGCTAAAAATTTATGGAAAAATAGCCTACGGTAACAGAACTATGATTTTTACAATCCGATAAACACACTTATGTGATATTTCTGCCTTAGAGTCAATGGTTTAACTTTGGATTTTTTTTCTGGAAATCTGGGAAAGTTGGAGGAACCAAATAAATTTTTATTTATTAAAGAAGCTTTCAGCTTCAACATGCTAAAATTTTATGGAAATATAGCCTAGGATAACAGAACTATGATTTTTACAATCCGATAAACACACTTAGTGATATTTCTGCCTTAGAGTCAATGGTCTAACTTTGGATTTTTTTTCTGAAAATCTGGGAAACCTAGAGGAACCAAATATTTTTTTATTTATTAAAGAAGCTTTCAGCTTCAACATGCTAAAAATTTATGGAAAAATAGCCTACGGTAACAGAACTATGATTTTTACAATCCGATAAACACACTTATGTGACATTTCTGCCTTAGAGTCAATGGTTTAACTTTGGATTTTTTTTCTGGAAATCTGGGAAAGTTGGAGGAACCAAATATTTTTTTATTTATTAAAGAAGCTTTCAGCTTCAACATGCTAAAATTTTATGGAAATATAGCCTAGGATAACAGAACTATGATTTTTACAATCCGATAAACACACTTAGTGATATTTCTGCCTTAGAGTCAATGGTCTAACTTTGGATTTTTTTTCTGAAAATCTGGGAAACCTAGAGGAACCAAATATTTTTTTATTTATTAAAGAAGCTTTCAGCTTCAACATGCTAAAAATTTATGGAAAAATAGCCTACGGTAACAGAACTATGATTTTTACAATCCGATAAACACACTTATGTGACATTTCTGCCTTAGAGTCAATGGTTTAACTTTGGATTTTTTTTCTGGAAATCTGGGAAAGTTGGAGGAACCAAATAAATTTTTATTTATTAAAGAAGCTTTTAGCTTCAACATGCTAAAATTTTATGGAAAAATAGCCTAGGATAACAGAACTATGATTTTTACAATCTGATAAACACACTTAGTGATATTTCTGCCTTAGAGTCAATGGTCTAACTTTGGATTTTTTTTCTGAAATTCTGGGAAACCTGGATGAACTGAATATTTTTTTATTTATTAAAGAAACTTCCAGCTTTAACATACTAAAATTTTATAGAAAAATAACTTAGGATAACGGAGCTATGATTTTAACAATCCAATAAAACACACTGACTGATATTTCTGCCTTAAAGTCAATGGTCTAATTTTATTTTTTCTGAAAATCTGGGAAACCTGGGGGAACCAAATATGTTTTTGCTTATTAAAGAAGCTTCCAGCTTCAACATGCTAACATTTTATGGAAAAATAGCCTAGGATAACAGAACTATGATTTTTACAATCCGATAAACACACTTAGTGATATTTCTGCCTTAGAGTCAATGGTCTAACTTTGGATTTTTTTTCTGGAAATCTGGGAAACCTGGAGGAACCAATTATTTTTTTATTTATTAAAGAAGCTTTCAGCTTCAACATGCTAAAATTTTATGGAAAAATAGCCTAGGATAACAGAACTATGATTTCTACAATCCGATAAACACACTGAGGGATATTTCTTTCTAGAGTCAATGGTCTAATATGTAATTTATTTCTGGAGATCTGGAAAACCTGGACGAACCAAATATTTTTTTATTCATTAAAGAAGCTTTCAGCTTCAACATACTAAAATTTTATGGAAAAATAACCCAGGATAAAGGAGCTATTATTTTAACAATCCGATAAACACACTTAGTGATATTTCTGCCTTAGAGTCAATGGTCTAATTTGTGATTTTTTTTCTGAAAATATGGAAAACTCGGAGGAACCAGATATTTTCTCGTTTTTTGTGAAAGCTTTCAGCTTCAATATACTAAAATATTATGGACAAAAAGCCCAGGATAACTGAGCTATGATTTTTACAATCCGATAAACACACTGAGTGATATTTCTGCCTTGGAGTCAATGGTTTAATTTTCATTTTTTTTTCTGGAAATTTGGGAAGCCTGGAGGAACCGGATATTTTTTTCATTTATTAAGAAAGCTTTCAGCTTGAACATACTGAAATTTTATGGAAAAATAGCCCAGGATAACAGAGCTATGATTTGTACAATCCGATAAAACACACTGAGTGATATTTCTGCCTTGGAGTCAATGGTCTAATTTTCATTTTTTTTTTCTAGAAATCTGGGAAGCCTGGAGGAACCGGATATATTTTTTTCATTTATTAAGGAAGCTTTCAGCTTCAACATACTGAAATTTCATTGAAAAATAGCCCAGGATAACAGAGTTATGATTTGAACAATCCGATAAAACACACTGAGTGATATTTCTGCCGTAGAGTCAATGGTCTAGTTTTTCATTTTTCTTCTGGAAATCTGGGAAACCTGGAGAAACCAGATATTTTTTCAGGGAGCTTTTAACTACAAAATACTGAAATTTTATGGAAAAATAGCCCAGAATAACGGAGCTATGATTTGTACAATCCGATAAAACACACTGAATGATGTTTCTGCCTTGGAGTCAAAGATCTAGTTTGTGATTTTTTTTCTGGAAATCTGGGAAACCTGGATGAACTGAATATTTTTTTATTCATTAAAGAAACTTCCAGCTTTAACATACTAAAATTTTATAGAAAAGTAACTCAGGATAACGGAACTATGATTTCTACAATCCAATAAAACACACTGACTGATATTTCTGCCTTAAAGTCAATGGTCTAATTTTTGATTTTTTTTCTGAAAATCTGGGAAACCTGGAGGAACCAAATATTTTTTTATTTATTAAAGAAGCTTCCAGCTTCAACGTGCTAAAATTTTATGGAAAAATAGCCTAGGATAACAGAACTATGATTTTTACAATCCGCTAAACACACTTAGTGATATTTCTGCCTTTGGGTCAATGGTCTAACTATGGATTTTTTTCTGGAAATCTGGGAAACCTGGAGGAACCAAATATTTTTTTATTTATTAAAGAAGCTTTCAGCTTCAACATATTGAAATTTTATGGAAGTATAGCCCAATTTAATGGCGATGATTTTTACAATCCGATAAACACACTGAGTGAGATTTCTGCCTTGATGGTCTAATTTTTGATTTTTTTCAGAGAATTTGGGAAACCTGGAGGAATTAAATATTTTTTTATTTAATAAAGAAGCTTTTAGCTTCAACATACTAAAATTTTATGAAAAAATAGCCCAACATAACGGAGCTATGATTTTTACAATCTGAGAAACACACTCAGTGATATTTCTGGTTTAGAGTCAATGAATGAACATTAAATCGTTTTTAATCCTCAATATAATAACATTGGTCTAAAATTAATTTTTTTACAAGCTCATTGGACGTAGCAAGTTTGACTTTGACATCTGTCAAAAACTGACAAAAGCAAATTACCCTGACTTAACAATCAGTAGTGAAATAATGTGAGACAAAAGAAGAAGTCTGACAGACAAAAAAACTATGATTTTAAAAATTGACTCACCATTATTACTCAAAGGTATCTGAACCATTCCAGAAGGACCCCAAATAGGCCTATCGTCATCATCATCAAAATCATCTCCTCCGATTCGATTCGGAACCAAACTGTTCATGTCCTTCTTTGGAGGTAGATAAGTGGGTCCTTGATAAGGACGTTTGATTGGATTATCGATGGGCGATCCTGGATTCATGTAGACCGGCTGAGGCGGGTAAAACATGAGATTACCCCCTTGATTACCGTACACTGGGATGATGTAGGGTCTTCGGATTGTGTATGGAGATGCTTTGAATGCCTTAAAGAAATCTTGTTTAATGAGCTTATTCATTGACAATAAATTTGCAATAAAATTAAATTGTCGAAGTTGTAAAATGCCAAGGGAACAATGAAACGTCTGACTCAATATTCTTTAAAATGACTTCATCTCTTTTTCCGCAATTAGCTAATCCTATTGTCTAATTAGGCGAGATTGAAATTTATTTGATTCAAGGATAAACTTAGAATTATTGATTAGTAATAAACAATTATTATACTCACAGCTGCTGCATTGTAAGGTGAAACCGAATTTCTTGGTGCCCACGAACTAGGGTAGTAGCTCCTTTTCTTAATTCTACTGTAAACTTCTTTGTTTTGTTGAAGCTGGTCAGGAACAGCGCAGCTGACCAACGTTATGAAGCAAACAGCGAAAAGTAATGATAAATCCAGCATTTTTCTGAAACAAAAAATTTCATATTTCTGGGTGACAAAGTGCAAATATTTTACTGGCCCGAGGCCTTTTCATTTATATATTTTTTACGCTGGAAAATTTTAATTCAGACAGCCAGAAAATATATATTATAAACTCGTGAGGGAAAAACCCACCCTATAATCTAATTATGTTTGTAAATATTTTGCCAATAAGATTAATCTTTACCTTTTGTCTAGCTGGGTTTTTCCACACTTGTGCACTGCTCTTGTAACTTGTTAATACTGAAGTACCACCTCAAACAGGTACTTAAGTAATCTTAATTGATTTAACTAGAACTAACCCTTTAGCAGGTAAAAGTCAAAATATTTAAATTTTATTGTAAATTATTGACTCTTGAATTGGGTAGGTACCCCTAGGGGGATGTTTGAAGCTTTTCAATGGCACTTAAAGGTAATAAAGGTACTTCATTGAGGTTGACTAAGCTGGCGCCAAATATTATAAAGTTGTAATATGATTCTTAGTAAAATGTTGATTGAGAAAAAGGCCTTTATTCACATAAAAAGCAAAGTATATAAAATCTGATTTATAGTTAGTTATGCATATAAAACAGTTTCTCTGAATAATAGAGAAGCAGCTCCCTGAAAGCCTTCGAGTACCAAATTGAAAATGGATAATGGAACAAGTGAAATGTTCTTCTAAATGCAAATACCTAAGGGTTTTGTGCATCGAGATTTTGTATAAATTAAATCCAAATTGTTTCTAAAAAGGTGGGCACCTTTTAGAAAGTTCATTTGAATTGTCGCTATACTTACTGACATTTAGATAATATGTTATCCTTGGAAATAATAAATTCGACTAATATTTGTTCTTCCACAACGTCACGATATTTTTATAATGAAAACTCTACTGATGGATCAAAATCAATAATTGTTCATTTATGATGTAATTGAACAATAAGTGGTGGGATTTTTTTGGACTCCAAAAAAAAAAATAACTTTTCAAGGATTTTTACATTTAAGTTGCCCCCAAGGTTTTCGTGATCTCCATTTTTAAGCTTCTCCTTTCCCGAGCATGCCGAATGATTTCAATTTCCTATTTCCATGAAAACGATTCGCGATTTTCGTATAAATTATCTTGCAGGTTAATATTTTAATATTTGAACGTCGTAAAGTTTATTTTATATTTTTGTTATTTTTATCATACAATCTTTGTCGTCAGGAATAGAAGAATATTATTCGAAAACTTTATCAATATCTACATAAGTATGTAAAACCTAATTCAATAATCCTATATGATGAGTTTCTGGAATACTATGTTAATTCAGAATCTATTTTTCTTTCCATAAAATATCTTAATTTTGACCTGAAAAATTTTCCTATAGTTTGACATGGTTTCAGAAACTTGCTCACAGTTTTGGTAATTCTCAACGAATCAACTTTGTGTTATAGATGTTCTAAAAGTGGATTAAATTCTCTATAAAATCTCCAAATATGAAATTAGTTGATTGTATAGGCTTTGAGAAATTAGGCTTAAAACTTGAAACGTTACTGAGATTTTGTCAAAAAACTCAAAAACCCGAAGTGATATAAATATTTAGTTGATAAAGTATTGAAGTACTCAATAAGAGCTACAATCTCTGAAAAATTTGATTAGATACCTTTTATGGTTACCCAGATATTGCCAATTGAAGATTTTGAATAAAAAATCCAAAGGGAGTAGACTGAAAAATGAAAAATTTCGAATTTCCATATTTCTTAAATTTTGACTTTTTCAATCGAAAGAGGAGGTTAAAACTAGCCGAAAACATATTCCACATTATTTTGAAAAGTTTAGTCTTATGAGAAAAAAAAATGTAAAAGAAAATCTCAATTTTGATCTCAGAAATTTTCCTATATATTGACATGGCTTCAGAAATTTTCTCACAGTTTTGGTAATTCTCAACGAATCAACTTGTATTATGGATTTTCTGAAAGAGAATTAAATTCTCTATGAAATCATCAAATATTAAATTAGTTGGTTTTATAGGCTTTGAGAAAATAGGCTTCAAACTTGAAACTTTACTGAGATTCTGTCAAAAACTTCAAGTTCAAAAAACTCAAAAACCATAAGTGAATTAAATATTTAGTAAATAAAGTATTAAGTACTCAATGAGTGCTATAATTTTTGAAAAATTTAATTGGATACCCTTCATGGTTACCCAGATATTGCCAATTGAAGATTTTGAATAAAGAATCCAAAAGGGAGACTGAAAAATCAAAAATTTCGAATTTTCATATTTTTCAAATTTTGACTTTTTCAATCGAAAGAGCAGGTCAAAATTAGCTGAAAACATATTCCATATTATTTTATGAGAAAAAAAATTTAAAAGAAAATCTCAATTTTGAACTCAGAAATTTTCCTATATATTGACATGGCTTCAGAAATTTTCTCACAGTTTTAGTAATTCTCAACGAATCAACTTGTATTAAGGATTTTCTGAAAGATAATTAAATTCTCTATGAAATCTTCAAATATTAAATTAGTTGGTTTTATAGGCTTTGAGAAAATAGGCTTCAAACTTGAAACTTTACTGAGATTCTGTCAAAAACTTCAAGTTCAAAAAACTCAAAAACCATAAGTGAATTAAATATTTAGTAAATAAAGTATTAAGTACTCAATGAGTGCTATAATTTCTGAAAAATTTAATTGGATACCCTTCATGGTTACCCAGATATTGCCAATTGAAGATTTTGAATAAAGAATCCAAAAGGGAGACTGAAAAATCAAAAATTTCGAATTTTCATATTTTTCAAATTTTGACTTTTTCAATCGAAAGAGCAGGTCAAAATTAGCTGAAAACATATTCCATATTATTTTATGAGAAAAAAAATTTAAAAGAAAATCTCAATTTTGAACTCAGAAATTTTCCTATATATTGACATGGCTTCAGAAATTTTCTCACAGTTTTGGTAATTCTCAACGAATCAACTTGTATTATGGATTTTCTGAAAGAGAATTAAATTCTCTATGAAATCTTCAAATATTAAATTAGTTGGTTTTATAGGCTTTGAGAAAATAGGCTTCAAACTTGAAACTTTACTGAGATTCTGTCAAAAACTTCAAGTTCAAAAAACTCAAAAATCATAAGTGATATAAATATTCAGTAAATAAAGTATTAAGTACTCAATGAGTGCTATAATTTCTGAAAAATTTAATTGGATACCCTTCATGGTTACCCAGATATTGCCAATTGAAGATTTTGAATAAAGAATCCAAAAGGGAGACTGAAAAATCAAAAATTTCGAATTTTCATATTTTTCAAATTTTGACTTTTTCAATCGAAAGAGCAGGTCAAAATTAGCTGAAAACATATTCCATATTATTTTATGAGAAAAAAAATTTAAAAGAAAATCTCAATTTTGAACTCAGAAATTTTCCTATATATTGACATGGCTTCAGAAATTTTCTCACAGTTTTGGTAATTCTCAACGAATCAACTTGTATTATGGATTTTCTGAAAGAGAATTAAATTCTCTATGAAATCTTCAAATATTAAATTAGTTGGTTTTATAGGCTTTGAGAAAATAGGCTTCAAACTTGAAACTTTACTGAGATTCTGTCAAAAACTTCAAGTTCAAAAAACTCAAAAATCATAAGTGATATAAATATTCAGTAAATAAAGTATTAAGTACTCAATGAGTGCTATAATTTCTGAAAAATTTAATTGGATACCCTTCATGGTTACCCAGATATTGCCAATTGAAGATTTTGAATAAAGAATCCAAAAGGGAGACTGAAAAATCAAAAATTTCGAATTTTCATATTTTTCAAATTTTGACTTTTTCAATCGAAAGAGCAGGTCAAAATTAGCTGAAAACATATTCCATATTATTTTATGAGAAAAAAAATTTAAAAGAAAATCTCAATTTTGAACTCAGAAATTTTCCTATATATTGACATGGCTTCAGAAATTTTCTCACAGTTTTGGTAATTCTCAACGAATCAACTTGTATTATGGATTTTCTGAAAGAGAATTAAATTCTCTATGAAATCATCAAATATTAAATTAGTTGGTTTTATAGGCTTTGAGAAAATAGGCTTCAAACTTGAAACTTTACTGAGATTCTGTCAAAAACTTCAAGTTCAAAAAACTCAAAAACCATAAGTGAATTAAATATTTAGTAAATAAAGTATTAAGTACTCAATGAGTGCTATAATTTCTGAAAAATTTAATTGGATACCCTTCATGGTTACCCAGATATTGCCAATTGAAGATTTTGAATAAAGAATCCAAAAGGGAGACTGAAAAATCAAAAATTTCGAATTTTCATATTTTTCAAATTTTGACTTTTTCAATCGAAAGAGCAGGTCAAAATTAGCTGAAAACATATTCCATATTATTTTATGAGAAAAAAAATTTAAAAGAAAATCTCAATTTTGAACTCAGAAATTTTCCTATATATTGACATGGCTTCAGAAATTTTCTCACAGTTTTGGTAATTCTCAACGAATCAACTTGTATTATGGATTTTCTGAAAGAGAATTAAATTCTCTATGAAATCATCAAATATTAAATTAGTTGGTTTTATAGGCTTTGAGAAAATAGGCTTCAAACTTGAAACTTTACTGAGATTCTGTCAAAAACTTCAAGTTCAAAAAACTCAAAAACCATAAGTGAATTAAATATTTAGTAAATAAAGTATTAAGTACTCAATGAGTGCTATAATTTCTGAAAAATTTAATTGGATACCCTTCATGGTTACCCAGATATTGCCAATTGAAGATTTTGAATAAAGAATCCAAAAGGGAGACTGAAAAATCAAAAATTTCGAATTTTCATATTTTTCAAATTTTGACTTTTTCAATCGAAAGAGCAGGTCAAAATTAGCTGAAAACATATTCCATATTATTTTATGAGAAAAAAAATTTAAAAGAAAATCTCAATTTTGAACTCAGAAATTTTCCTATATATTGACATGGCTTCAGAAATTTTCTCACAGTTTTGGTAATTCTCAACGAATCAACTTGTATTATGGATTTTCTGA